AAAGAAACACTTGGTCAGTGACCGGCAGAAATGGCCAAAATCCGAGACCCCGCACCTGGTGCCCGGCAGGCGTCTGTGACGCTTCCGGTGCCGGGGCGGCTGCAGGCGTCCCCAGTGCAGGGCGGGGGGTGCGCGGGGACGGGGGGGACGTGCCTCAGGTCACTTAGCACAGGCCTGAGAGTTAGTCTGAGCCTATGTTTTTAGCTTAGAAAAGTAGATTTTCTCCAATTTGTGTGTGCTTTATAAAAATTCGTATACAGTAAAACATGCCCCTTTTCTGCAACTTTAGTTTTTAAGTTTACGAAGGTTTTTTTACATCCAAGAGTGTTTACTAGGGTGACTGTTGTGTGGGCACCGAGCTCAGGGGTCCGTGGGCAGGGCCTGGTCAGCGGGGTTCACCCTGCAGGACATCCCTTCTCAGTGGGGTGCACACTCAGGAGGGTCTGTGAGGAGGGACGTCCACGATCGGGGTGCACACGCGACCGAGTCCACGCAGAGTGCGTGTTCAGGGCTGTGCATGACCCAGGGTGCGTGCCCAGGAGGGGCCCCCATCGGGGGTCTAGGTCTCCTGGGCGACGCGCTCCCCGCCTCGCACTGGCCGCGCGCACACGGCTTCCCTCCCGGAGCCGCACGGCCGCCCCGCCTCCGCCCGCCCCGCGCACGTCTCCTGCGGCCCCCTCGCTGCGCTCGGCCCCCTCGGGACGGCGGGGAGGAGGGCGTGGCCCTGGGTCGGGCTCTGGTGTACGGGGACGTGGCGGCCGGCGTGACCCTCCGTCCCGGCCGCGGAAACTTCCGGCACATCAGCGCTCGGCCGTTTCACCCGCGCGTCCCCCGTGTGCTCCCAGGGGAAGCGCTTCTGCCGTCCCTCAAGGACTCGTCCTCTGTGTGCGCAGCGGGCTCCCCGGACGAGGCGCCCCGGCTGTCAGCCGGCCTGCGTCGCCGGGCGCATGGCTTCCGGCGCGTGGGTCCCCGCGAGAGGCCTGCGACTCTTTCCCCGCTTGAGCGCTCAGAGGCGGTTGCCGGGTTCCTGTGAACGGGCCTGACGTCACCTCGCTGGGTCTCGGGGGCCAGGGAGGCCCGAGGGGAGGGAGGGAGGCGGGTGGCGGGGCAGGGGGCACATGCTCGACCTGCGCCGGTTCACATGAATGAACGGGAAAGGCGGGTGACGCCCCAAAGCCGTCACCACCGTGGCGTCGAGGATCACTGACCGCAGGCAGTTGTAACAAACACGGCCTTTAGAGTCTGAATACGTTGCGAGGATTCCCGAAGCCCGGCAGGGGCGCGAGGGCGCACGGGCTGCTGGGAGCGGTGCTGCCAGGCTTGCAGGACATGGGCCCGCGCTCCCACGGCCGCCGGTTTGTCCACATGCGACGGAGCGAAGTGCGAGGCATGTGCGGGCCACGGCCCCGCAGACACGGCCCCGCTGCGGCCGAGGAGCGCGCTCCGCTCCTGGGGGAGGGGCTGCCGGCGGCCCCCCAGGCGGCTGCGATGCGGCTGAGGGGACCGGCCGGCAGCTCCACATCCCCAGTGAGAGCGCCCACCGGGCCCCAATGCCAGCGGGGCCGGCCCGCGAGAAAGACAACAAAACCAAGCAAAGATGGAGGACAGACTTACCAAGAACACCGCAGCTGAAAAACCTAGGGGAATTTTTTTATTCCAGCACAAAGTTCATCTGGTTCTAAAAGATGTTTGCACTTGAATTACACTTGGGCCAGGCCGTGTGTCTGTCCTGGGATGTCCACTCCGGCCCTGCCCGCCAGGACTCGGGGGTCCGCAGCCCTCACCTGGCCAGGCCGGCGGTCACTGCAACGCGGCCCTTCCGGCCAAGAGCGGACTTTCAGGGGCAGGTCCCTGGCCTCTGCCCTCGGGTCCTGTCGGCTCCTGAAGCCCTTCTGTCGTGTACACGGACCCAGATCCGCCCACTCTTTCATCTCGATCACTTTGCTTTCCTCGTCCTCACCCCGGTCCCACCAGCCCAGTCAGGGCTCAGCCACGTCCACATGACGTCATCGCCGTGGTGTGAGGTGAAGGGCCGCTGCCCTCGCACCCCATTCTGTGGGTGAGGACCCGGGGGGCGGGCGGAGGTCCCGGGACACAGCCTGTCACCGGGAGTGGGATCAGGGGGTGACTGACCCCACGTCTGCCTTCCTGCCAGGCGTTCCCTGATTTTTCAGGATGAAGAAAAAAGTTAGAATCTGCGTTTCTAGACATAGAAACTATGCCCGCAGAGAGGACGTGACGTGCGGAGGGTCCTGCGGCTCGTTGGGGGCAGGACGCGAACCCTATTCGACGGAGAGAGTGTGGACTTGGGCCGCGGACCTCAGGGCCGACGTGGCCCGTTCTGGGTGTGAGACGCGGAGCCTGAACAGCCTCAGGGGCCCCTGGGCCTGGCTCCTCCTGTCAGATAAACACCAGGACCCCGTGGCAGAGACGGCTGGGGGCCACTGCGGCCCCGTCCCACAGGGCACAGTCGAGCGGGGAACCGGCGGCCCCCGCCGCCCCGGCCTCCACGTGCCGTCCTCACCCTGGACCTGAGGGTGGGGAGGGGCCGCCCTCTGTGCCCTCCGGGCCCACGCACGGGCCCACCTGGGAGACGCCAGGCCGGGGCGGGGTCGGCGTGGCCGCCTGACCCCGGGACAGGGTTTTGTTGAAAGCAACGTGCCGTTGGCTGCTCCCGTCGGCACCTGCTCCGGCCACGACGGGATGGAGGCCGCGTGGCCCACACAGGCGGCACCATGGGCGACCGGGCCCCTGACCCGGAGGCTGGTGGGGCCGGGAGACAGGGAAGCCTGGGTCCCCGGATGCTCCCTGACCACAGAGACCACGTCACCACAGCGTGAGGGCCACCGGGGCATGCATTTTGTGACACGGTGGACTTGCTCCTGGTCACACCAGTGCCCGCAGTACACGGTGTGACGTGGGGTCGGCACAGAACGAGCCCCTCCCTGCCCCAGGCTCGGCGCAGGGTTCGCTCCCGAGACGACCGCCGACCGCTCAGTCACGTCCTATGGGTGGCTGGTGCTGGGCCCTGGGGACCGGGTGGCGTGGAAACGTCACACAGATGCAGACGCAGGGACCAGTGGCAGTGCCCACGGACAGCATGTGCCCAGGAGACAGTCGCCAGCGGAAGATGAGGGACCAGCTGCTGCAGGAGGGACGGACGTCCTCTCAGCCACGTTCTCGGGGACAGCACACCCCGAGGGGGCCCCACGGGCGGGCGGTGGCCTTGGCAGGGGCTCAGCCAAGGACGAGCAGCGCTGAGGGCGTAGCCCACAGGTGACCGAGGGTCGCCCGGGGCTCAGAATTTTACTCGTGGAAGCGCCAGCCTCAAAGCACATCTCGGGCCAGCAGCCATGTTCCGACCGGCCAGGCGCGCCCTGTCCCAGCGGCAGCGGACGCAGGCGGGCGCCGCGGGTCTGAGTGTGAGAGGGCTGCCGCCCCGGGGCTCCCAGAGCCGCCCAGGCCCTCCATCCGGGCCTGCACTGAGGCTTCTGCCCCGGACGCAGGCGGGAAGAGCCGCGGCAGCCAGTGTGCTGCGCCCAAACCAGCCTGTGGATGGAGAGGCCCAGCCCCTTGTGGGCGACGGTCCTGGGGTCCCAGGGTGACCCCCTCCGGCCGCTGCCCACCCGCAGACCCTCGTGAGTGCCCCCCCACCCCACCCCCCGCACATACTCACCGCCTGTCCTGGGCCCGCGAGCGGCTGCTTGTCTCTGTCTTACCCACGGCTGAGACAGCGATGCCAAATGACCGAGAAACAGCCCTGAAGTGGGGGGCGGCGACCCCATCTGTGCCCACTTGTCCTCGCTGGGTGCGCCGGGGGCCCCTCTCTGGAGGAGCCTGGTGATTAGAGTGGAGGCCCATCCACGGTGCCGGGGCGACGGCAGTGCAGGCTCGGGGCCGGGTCTCCGGGGGCTCAGGCCCCAGGGTCAGGGCAGCGGAGCCCGGCCCCGAGGCTGAAGGACAGAAGCAGGACGCCGAGGACGTCCCCCTGCAGGGACAAGCAGACGCGCTGGCTCTCGGGCTGCCCACTGCACCCGTTGCAAGACGTGGCAGGAACCCAGGCCCCCGCGAGGCGAGCCGGAGCCCGAGGACGCGGAGCCAGGACGGACTGCGCCGCGGCAGGCGGGGGGCGGGCCATAGGGGGCCGGACAGGTGTGCGCCGTGCGCCGATTCCGGGCCACGCAGCGGGGGCGCCGGGCGAGAGGCGTGGCCGCGGCGGGGGACGCTGTGCACAGCGAGCAAAGCAGAAGCTGTCGTCACACACCAGAGTCAGGTCGTTTGTCTTGTGGCTTCAGGAGGCGCTAACCTTTCCAAGGGGCCACCTGTTCTCCGGGGGAAGCGCCGCTGGGGCTGCTGGGGCCGTGGTCGCGGGCTTCCGGGCGGGGCGGGGCGGGGCAGGGCGGTGGGGACCGTGGTCCTCAGCCGGACGTCTCCGTCCCAGCGCGAACAGGCCGGCGCGGGCCCTGGGCCGCGGACAGAGACCCCGCTGGTCCGGGTCTGCCGGGGCGACGGGTCTCTGTTGGCCGTGAATGTTTCCAAACCCCGTCTTCACACGCGGCCACAGCCCCACTCCCACGTGCCGCCAGGGGCGCCGCCCGTGCCCGTGCACAGACGGGGCTGTCTGCCCCGCACGCCCGTCACCTCGCCCGGGCGAGCCGCTGGGGCCGGGCCTGGGCCGCGTGCATTCTCGTCCCAGCGTCCTCGAAGCGGCCGGGCCAAGCACGACGCCTGAGCCCCGGCCTGCGAGCGGACCTGGTCGTCACGGGAGCCGGAGTCCCAGGACAGTCCGGGCGGCGACGTACCGTTTCTGTCTGTCGCAGGCTCAGCCGTGTGTCTGGGGACTAAAGGGACCCGTGAGCACCGCGTGCCTGCTGCGGACCTCGGGCCGAGCCCCGGGCCCTGCGAGACTTCGCCCCTTCAAACCACCGGTGGGGGCGCCCTGTCCAGCTGCTTGGGGCTCGGCAGCTCGCGGGGAGGGAAAGCCTTCCGTTCTCAGCCCTCGGTGCGGTGACGCCCCCGCCCCCCCACTTCAAGGTGAGGCGTTTATGGCCGCTCACTTCTCTGCAGAGGAGACAACAGAGGACCCAGGTGTCAGTGCCTGCAGGCCGTTCAAAGGACCCCCACCCACGGCGCACGCGGCGAGGCCCTGGGTGCCAGTCCGGCCGGGACGCAGCGTGGGCTCCGGGCGCCCCACGGAGGCCCGGGAGAGAAGCGCAGTGCGGAAAGCCCGCGGACTGCGGCCCCCGGGGGCGCGCGCCCCTCTGCCTCGGAGGCAGAGCTCCCATTGCCACCCAATCCCCCTGTGAGTCTGCGGGACTGAGAGGCGACAGGGCGGCTGCGGGGACGGCCTTCAGAGACCCAGAGGGGCTCGGCGGCTCCTCTGCCCGCCTCGCGCCCTCTGCCGTCGCCATGGAAACGGGCGGCCGGCCGTCCCTGACACGGGCGTCTGCGGAGGTGGACGGCCTACCTACTTGCCTAATTGTTTATTTCTTATTTTATTTTCAGGAGGCTCTAAAAAGCGGGCGCTGCGCCCATTTAAATTTACTGACGATTTTTGCCTCTTCTGTCCGCCAGCCTGCGACCCGACTCCGCCCGCGGCCATAGGGGTGGCTTTGTTCCGGAAGGACGGAACGCGGCATACTGTGCGCCGCTTTCTGCACTTGGAAATACATGTGTTATCCTCCACATGCAGAGGGCGAAACGGAGGCGTTTAATAAGGGCCGGCGCGAGCTCTCCGTCCTGCTGCGGCGACGTTGCTGAGTGAGCTCGGGGTGCTGCCGAGGCGGGGCCCCGGGAGCCCTGGCTCTGAACCGACGGCCACGGGGCCGATCACTGCGGGGCTTTAGATCACTGGTCTGAAGCTGCTTTGGGTGCCTGTGATTTGTCCTATCTTTCAGCAGGTCCAAGGGTTTAATAAAAGAGTCATTTTTATGGAAGCTGAGCAAGATAAAATTCAGCATCATAAACGTCAATAAAATAAGATTAGAGAAATATTTTCTTAACATGGTAACATATAGCCCTATAGACAGTTACAAGTGAAAACCTATAAACAATTGAATAAAAAGCCTTCGATAAAGAATTGAGTAAGATCAGGGTATGAAATTAATATAGAGAAACTAATAGCTTTAGAAAATATCATGGAAGAAACTGCCCCCGTTTAATGGGCCAAAAACAAAGATGAAGTATTTAGGGATGAACTGAAGTGAAGGTCTGTGGGAGGAGCCTTTTTAAATGCCCTCAAAAGTTGGTACACAAAACCAGTATAAGGGGAAGCGCACTCTGTCATTCATTAGGAAGATTCACTATCTAGAATGCTAATTTCTCCAACTCGTGAGTTAACGCAATCTCAGTAAAAATAATAAAAATCCGGGTTCTTCTGCATCTTTGTTTTAGTTTTTATCACGGGGCGAGGACTAACAGCCTGACTCCGAGGTTCAGAGAGAAAAGACAGCCAACAAGGACAGACAGACCGCCCCGCGACGACGGAGCCGCCAGAGGGCGGCGGCCCCCCAGCCCCAAACCGTGTGGCCGTCGTGACCACGGTGCAGTCGCGGCGGCTCCCGGACGGACGCTCTGAAGGACAGGCAGAAACAGGCGTCGCAAGGGATCCGCGCAGAACAAGGCGCATCTCAGACCAGCAGAAGCAGTGAAAGGGAGAAGCCGCACCCTCAGCCGCCCTGCGCATCGGGACACGCGCCAGCCAGTCATTTCAGCGTTAAAATAAAACCCTAACGGGGCTGGCGGAAAGCATCCCTTTATAACTTTGTAGTCAGGGGAAGACTCTTCTAATCAAAACTGAAGACCCAAGTGCCGTGGAGGGATTTAGAGGTTAAACCACGTAACAGCAAAACTTCTGCGCAAAACACCAGTCATCAGTGTATTTATAAACCAAGACAGTAAGAAAATACACATTTCACTATTGTAACCTGCACCCTCAAAATGTACAGAGCCCCCGGAAATCAACAAAAAGGCCTAGAGCAGCCACTGAGTGGACAAGTGGGCAGGCTCTTGAACCAGAGAATCCAATGAAGAGAAAATGCAAAGAAATGCTCGACCTTGTGAGTAACAGAAAACCCGCTACAGAGGCAAACGCCTGAGTTTTTATGCCTGTTGGTGAGAATGGAGGTAGAGGCACTTTTGCACAACAGGTGAATCATTTTACAGCCATTGGGAGAACAATTCGGAAACAGCCATGAGATGACAAAGGCACAGGCCTCTTGAGCACTTTCAGTCCTGGGAGCTGGGTTGAGGGCGTGCGCAAACCGACACACCAGGGCTTTCAGCGCGGCACCGCCTAAAGAGGGTCTGAAACCCCCGCACGGTGGGCCGACGCGCAGCTTTAAGAGACGGAAAAGCGCTCCGGGCACCCGTGGGCACGCTGCTGCGCCACAGCCAGGGGCGACGGAGGTGCGTACACGCCCGCCTTTGTTCGTTCTCTCAGGAAGGGGAGGGTTCACAGGGAACCTGCCAGCGCTCGCCGTCTCAGTGCGTGAGGAGCACGGAGGAATCAGTGAGAAATCGTTTCCGGCTGAGGAGGACGCTGCCACATGCTCAGAGCAGCAACACGAGGACAGGACACAAAATCCATGTAAAGGTTCCTGCTTCGTTGCCACCACGCGAGGTTACCTTTGCAGCCCCACAAAGCGCCCATCCGTCCGCCGGGGTGCCCTGCTCACTCCTTCTCCTGTTGCCTTACCGACCGACGGTGGACTCAGCAAAAGCACCTCACCAGCTGGTTCCCCAGCCCAGCGTCTGGATACATGTTGCAGAGTTTAAACCCACTGAACCACCCGTCCCCAGGGCACCGACGCTGGAGCCAGCCGGTGGCGGGAGCCGGGCCTCCCAGCTGCCAGCCCAGGCCCGGCTGGCGGGGAGCGCGGTGATGGACAGGCCCCCGGGCACGCGGACTCTGACCAACCAGCTTCCTGCCAGGGCCGGGGGGTGGGGCAGCAGAGTCCTGCCCAGGGGGAGTTTATGCCCCCCACGGTCGGTGCCTGGCCCTTCAGCAGAGCCGCTTCGATCCGGACGCGAGCAGCCCGCCCGGTCCTTCGCTGGAACCAGCGTGTGGCCAGCCAGGAACAGAGTGGCTAAGCCCGAGGGCTTGGAAATGTGTTCGCCCCCAAAGGCTGAGCTGCCACATCCCCCCCTTGGATCCTCGGTGCCCACGCCGACCCGCCCGCCTCAGCACCGGCTCAGGGGCCTCGCGGCCGCACAGCCTGTGTGAGCACTGCCCTCAGACGGGGGCCGGGCGCCCTGGAGGGTAGCCGCCTCGTGGGGCTGGGGCTGGGGCTGGGGCTGGGGCCGGGGGCTGGCGCGGGGACCAGGGCAGAGGGAGCCAAACTGTGGGGACCGGGCACGGTGCCGACAGAGACCGCGTCGGGCCCGCGGCCCCTCCTCTGGAAGCCAGCCTGGCCCCGGGCTGCCCGCCAGGCTCCGCCTCTCGTCCCCCCAGCCTTCAGTGGGGCCCTGTGGTCCCAGCGCCCCCAACGCACACAGGGGACTGTGCTGTCCCTCTCGCCTGCTGCAGGGGCACCTGGGCCCAGGGGACAGTGGGGACCCCAGCCAGGTGCACGGCGGGTGATCCTGAGGGTGAGTGCTCCCCACCCCCACAAGCATGTGGCCTATGTCTGAGCGGACACAGCCAGGCCCTGGCGACTTCCGCCGCATCTGTCAGGAGACCGGGCCTGACCTCAGGTACATTCTAGAACAGGTGGGGGTGGGGCGAGTTCCAAGGGCCGCATGGGAGGCACCTGGGGGAAGGGGGTGGAGGAGTCCCCTGCTGCCGCCCGGGCTCTGGACGGCACAGCGTCCACCTGGAACCCCTGGAGGCGGGCAGGGCGGGGGAACCTTCAGAAAACCTTGTGGCAGCAGAAGCCACGACGTTGCTACGTGGAAACACAAGGGCCATCAGAACGGAAGTTCGTCTCGGGAGGGAGGGCTTGGTGCTGACGGCTGTGGCCTTGTCAGGCGATGCCCAAGAGCAGGGTCAGCTGGAGACACCAGGCCCCGGGGCCCAGAGGCTGCGGGGTCGCCCTCGCCCTTCAGACGGGGCCAAAAGCGGGGCGGAGCCTGCATAGGGGCCCTCGGGGCAGCAGAGCGGGGGAGGGCAGGTGGTGGGGCCCCCAGACGTGGGAACAGAGATGCAGGCGCCTGGCGGGGTGCTCCTGTGGCCACCTGGATGCAGCCAAAGTTTAAAGGCGGCGATGGTGCCACCATCTGCCTCCGCCCCGCAGGTCCCTGTCTTGCTGTCGGCGACTTACACCTTCCTGTTCGCCCGGACAAGTTCGACAGAGCAAACGGGCTGCCCTGCTCCTGAGCCCGCAGAGCCCTGAGGAGGCAGTGCCGGCACCTGCCCGCCTGCGGGGGGTTGAGCGCCATCCTCCTTAGAGACAGGATGGGACCGTCACCCCCAGAGGGCGGGTCCCGCCTCGTGAGCGGGGACAGGGGGCTCCCTGCGTGGCGCAGGACGGCCCACGTCCTGGCTGAGCTCGCTCCTGCCGCTGACCCCGGCCTGGTCCCGCCCTCGCCCCCCACTCTGGTCCCTTTACTCCCTGAAAATCGACGCTTGTCCAGTTTTGTCAGTGTGCCTGCTTCCCGTGCCCGTCTTCCCACTCCTTCCTGCCGATGGGGCCCTCGCCCAGCTCAGCGGCCGCCACGCTCACAGACCCGTCTCTCCCGGCTGGGCCCCGGGCCCCACCTCCGCCTGCACTCGCTGCTCCTCCGCAGCCGTCCGCCCTCTGGCCTTCCCCTTCGGTCCCTGGGGCGGGGGTGTGGGAGGACAGTCCGTGGCCCCGTGCCCTCTCGCTCAGCGTGCCCTTCCCATTGCCAGAGCCCACAGGCCTCCCCAGGCCTCAGCCTTCCTCCCGCCCCCAGGACCCCCTCCCTCCCTCCGGCTTGTTCTTCTGGGGCTCTGCCCCCCTCCCTCTTCTCAGAAGCAGATCCTCAAGGCCTGACCCGCGATGACACCGGGTGCCCGGTCCCGGTCGAGGGAAAGGGAGCCAGGAGGCGCCGTGGTGGCTCCCGGGCACCTCGGGGCGACCCCCCGCCCAGTCCCGCGCTGGCCTCTGTCCATCCGGCTCACTGACCGTCACTGCCCTCTGTCCCTCTGGCTACTCTGCAGTGTCTGTCCTCCCGGAAGACTCCCCGGGATCTGGGATTCTTCAGCCTCCACCCCAGAGTGAAATACTTACTTCCTGATTAATCACATCTACTGATCGTATAACTTTCGTCCGAGCCAGAGAAAACAGAATTATTACCTAGTATTGGGAAGAAAAGGCGGGACGGGAAACGTGAGGAGCCGACCCCAGCAAGGCGCGGGCCGCCAGGGCCTGACCGGGCCGCACACCCGCTCGCTGCCCGGCCGTCAGAGCCCCAGGAGCGGGCGTGGCCGGCAGCCTCTCTCGGTGGGGGGGTCTCAGGAACGGAGGGGCTTGCCGGCTGGGTCCAGCGCGCGCTGCGGGTGGGCAGGCGGGCGGGGGGAGCGCCCCGAGTCCCTCTGTGTCTCTCAAGCACGAGAGGGCGGACTCCAGCGGCCGCTCGGAGGCGACAATGGCGCCTCTGGGCCCAGGTCCCCCTCCCCCAGGACCGCGGCAGGCGCCCGGCTGTGCTTGAGGGGCACCCCGCGCCGCGTGACGCTGGGGCCGGCAGGGGCCTTGTCTCCAATCCGCCCTCTTGGCCCGTCAAACGGGTGGGCAGTGCCGCCTCCTTGAGGGGCTGGCGCTGGCCAAGTTTTTGAGACGATAGATGTGGGAATGACCGGCCTACAAAGTGAGACGCCAGTGGGACAATTGTGAGGCTGAGAGGCCGCGGCCGCGGATCCAGAGCCACTGGTTCACCCCGCGGGTTCAACTTACTGAAGGTGAGATTTTGTGGCGCCGGCCGCCACAGCCCCAAACTGGCTCGCGCGAATGCCACTTTCCCTGCGGGTCCCTGCTGGGTCAGTGGCACCGGCCGAGGGGCGCGGCCTGAGCGGCACAGAGCGACTCCGTTTAATAAGAATCTCTCGCGGTGGCCGAGGACCAGCTCCTCCAGCTCAGGCTCCCCAGCGCCGCGCGCGGGTTCGCGGTCGCACCGGCCAGACGTCGCCGCTGCAGTTGGTGCGGGGGCAGGTGGCCGAAGACTCCTCCCACAGCAAAGCGCCCCTGCCGACCCCCGCCACGCGCGTCGCTTGCGACTCTGTCCGCGGCAGGCGCCCCGCGCCCCGCGCTCTGAGCCGGCCTTCGCAGCACAGGGTGGGGGTCCGCGGGCGGGGCCTCCACGGGGCGCTCCCCGGACGGCCCTCCCCCCAGCCGCGCAAAGCTGCGGGCAGTTCTCATCTCTAGTCAGTAAATGAACTGGTCATCGGCCAGCCTTCACTTCCAGCGAGGTCCCTCCACTGGCAGCGGAGCGGGAACAGCCTGTGTCCCCGAACCGCGCGTGTCCTGGTCGAGCCTGTTCGGCCGGTGCCTTGCCAGAGGGCGCCCCCGCGCGGCCGGCCGGAGGAAGCGCACGCCCGGGGGCCGGCCTCGCCCGCAGCTCCTCGAGCCCGCGCCCCGGGCGGCCACAGCCGCGCGCCCTCTCCTGGGTGCCGCCGGAAGACACCCGAACGCCCAGCCGGGGGGCGGGGGCGGGTGGCGGGGGGGCGCAGGGACAACCCTGACTGCGCTTCTCCGGCGGAGCCCCGGGTCCTCTCAGTGCCACCGCGGGGACCTCGCGACCTTCTCTGCCTAGCCCTCAGCAGCCCTCCCCCCGCCCCGCGGCCAGGCCTCGGGGGCAGAGGTGCCGCAGATGCCCGGTCTCGCGGCCTCAAAGCGCACGCGGGCCCAGCCGGGGACGCCGCGAACCCAAAGGGCCTGTCCTCCCTGCGCGGCGGGGTGGGGACTGGACCGTGCGCCAGGGCCTGGCCCTTCCTGGCGTCTGGCCTTCACCCAGTCAGGGCGCTGCCAACCTGGACACTCACCGGAACTCAGGCCGTGAGGACCTGGGCTCCAAGCCGAGCAAAAGGGCACCGCTCTGGGCCTGGCTGCTCCGTCTCCCGCCCGCCCCCCACTGCGTGCTCCGCCCAGCAAAGCCCAACAAGGCCCATGCTGCCCCAGGTCGCCCTCCCCTTCCGGCTGCAGCCGTCCTGCCTTTGCAATCTGTGCTGAAGCCCGGAGAGACCCCCGTTGCCTGGCTCGCCGTTTCTAGAACCTCCCCCCTCCCAGTGGCTGGGTGGGCTTGCCCAGCAGGCGTCCACCCCTGCCGGTCCCACGGCTCCCCGTCCTCTGGGGGCAGCGCGAGCCGATGGGCAGGGGGTGAGCCGGCGGCCGGCCCGCGTTCACAGCCGATGCACGCGCTGGAAGGCGTCTCTCTGGGTGTTGCCCGCGTCTTTCTGAGCTGAGGGAGGCGCCCGGCCCATGCGCTCAGCCCCCTGGCTGGTCTCCCGCTTCCCGCGTCTCCAGCAGGACGGGCTAGACAGGGCCCCCGAGAGAGGCCACGGCGGGCCTGCCCTGCAGGCTGTGGGGCGCGGTGCCTCCTTGTGCGCACGGGGGCGGCAGGCCCGTGGCCCACGCGGGCTCCGCACTGTCAATGAGCTCAAAGGGACTGGGACACGCCCCCCAGCAGCAGCCCTTCAGGAGTGACCAGCAGGAAGCCCCTCACAGCGAAGCCCCTCACACCCCCTGCCCCCGGCCCCCCCCCCCCGAGCTGAACAGCAAGGCCTTTCTGTCGGCTTGAAACACCCCCATGCGCTCAGCGCAGCCAGAAAGAGTCTCTTCTGAGAAAAAAGGCAATAGATACAGAAGACGTAGCAAAAATACCATCTTACACGCACCACCCCAGTTCAGGTGCGACCGTCGACGGGAGCTAAGGGGGAAGAAAGGCGCGCGAGGCGCTCACAGTCACTTCCCACGCAGCGGCTGCGAGGGACCGGTCAGTGCCTTGGCAGTGAAAGAGGCCAGGCCTCACGTTGTCCAGGGGCGACGAGCTCAAAAGCGTCGCCTGGTGCGCGGACCGAGGGGGACGCGGCGTCCCGCAGGGACCGAGTGTCCCGGGAACTGCCCGCCTCTGCACCTCCGCGGGCGCAGCGCCGAGGCCCCGCCCGGACGGGACCCAGGCCGGTGCTTTCCCGGGACCCTTTACTGGGACTTCGTGGCTAAATGAATCAACATCTGTTTCTTCTCGCTGAAGCTGCAGATCTTCTGCAGGGCCGCGTGCGTGAGTGTGACCGCCTTGTCCCACTGGTTCTTCCGGTGGCTACTGTGCACCTCCAGGTTCTCCGTGTACTGCAGGACCGACTTCAAGAACCTGTTCAAAAATGTAATTTCTTTATTCCACTGACAACGTAATGACGATTCTCATGTTTCCTCTTTATGTGTATCCACAAATTGGAAACAGACACGGATCACATGAAAGCGCACAGCGCAGAGATGCCGTCGTCATGGAGACGCCGGCGGAATCCAGGGGTTTCACACGCTCAGCGCTGTCGCAGACGCGCCGTCGAATCCGGACAGGACGTCTGTCACGCTAGACCTTAATTTCCGAAAGGGTCTTCTGCTGCCTGGGTGAAAACATGTGGTGAACACGCTCCCTGCAGGACGGGAGCAGGCGAGCCCCCCACGCACGGAGAGAGCTGGCGGGTGCCCCGCCGTCTGCGTGCGCCTCGCGGCAGCCCCCCTCCGGGAAGGCGGGTCCCCGCGTCCTGGGGACCCTGCACGTGGAGCCCGCTGTCGGTCTCACGAGCTGTTTACTTAGAGACACGGACTGACGGTTCCCGGCGGGTTCTGAGTGACAGGAACCTACATGTTCTGAGCCCTCAGTTTCCCCAACAGTCTAAAACTACCCCACCTTCTCAGCGTTTTGAACATTTTCTAACTGACGAGTTAAAAGGACAGTGCAACGACGGCCCACGGGCCATTTTGGTCAAGGGAGCGGCTCCCGCCGGAGAGTGGCTTTCAGCCCAGGCGTCAGCGGGCGTCACCCAAGCCATTCTGCCTGTCCCTCGGGGCACCACCGGCACCGAGCGGGGAGCAGCTGGGGTGCTGTCCGCCACCCTCCCGCGCACAGGATGGCCCCCAGCTCAGAGCGTGGCGACGTGGAGGTGGGGAGCCCCTGGCCGGGCAGGAAACCACGGCCGGCGGTTGGCCCCGGCCGCCGCGCCCTCCTCTGCGTCCGCCTTCCCGCGGCAGGCGCCAGCGCCACGTGCCCACCTTCACGTTAATCATGTCCTGAGCGGCCTGCTCCCCGCAAAGCTTCAAGCCAGCGAGCACGAGGCCTCCGGGGAGCAAGGAGCGAGCTGCCCCGCGGCCGCGGCCGAGTGCCCAGGACAGGCACTGCGGCCACGTCGCGCGGGGTCGCCGCTGCGCCTGTGAAGCGCGTCAGGCGGCAGCGCCCTCTGCTCTCAGGCCCCCAGAGCGGAGCTCCACGGTGCTTGCAGCGGCCGCAGCATCGGCCCCCGCCCCCCAGGGGAGGTCTCTGGGTGCTGCCGGGATTGCCCGCAGCCGAGCTGAGGCCGGTCACCGTGATTTTCTGACGAGACGACATGAGCGAGGCCCGTAACGGTTCACCGGCTCCTAGGGACCCGGGGGAAACGGGCAGGCCAAGCAGGCCGGGGGCTGCTCCTTTAATGCTCGCCCGGGACACTCTCAGGGCTTCAGAGAGAGGGAGGGGGCAGGGGGGCACCGCGGCGTGAGAAGCCCCGGCTGGCAGCCTCCTGCCCGTGCCCGCGCCCGGGCCCCGCGGCTACGCGGCGCTGCTTCTGCCCACTGGGCCGCAGCGGCGGGGGCAGGAAAGTCGCCAGAGAGTGACCAGCAGGAGTAGAACTGACTTCCAGTTACCAACACAGTTTTCCTTCTTACTAACACCCACTTACTTCAGGTACTGCCGGTACCCGTGCGCGGTCTTCCCGTGAACCGCGTGGACGTTCAGCAGCTCCAGTGTGATCAGCAGCAGGAGCAGGGAGAGCACAGGGGACAGAAGCTTGACACTGAAAGTGGACGGAGTACGTCACCCTTTGTTAAATAAGGCATTTTCCAGTTTCATAGAACAACGTTTCAGCCCCTTTCACGAGTCCTGAAATCCAAACTCTTCCAAAGAGCCCTCCCTGTCCACCGAGCGCCGTGGCGGGAACGGCACCGGGACGCCCAGCCGCTGCGGCCGGGCCCTGCCCCTCACGTCCCCCTCGGGGTGGCCGCGCCTCGTCCCAGTCCGGGCCAGGGCCCTGCCCCCAGCGGCTGGCGCCGCCTTCCGGGGCCCGGACGGACCCTCCCGTGGGCCCCTTCCTGTCTGCGTGTCGGTGTCTTCCTTACAACCCGGCAGTCGGTAAACACTCACAGGGAGAGAAACGGCTGCAGCGTGAAATGCGTTCCACGCCCTGGGGCTCAGAGAAATTCTAACGAAAGTGAGACGCCGTTGCCCCCTAAGACGGATGGAGATGTAAGAAACCGTGCGGGTAGGGGCCACATGTAAGGAAGCGAGCGCCATCGTGCAAACGGCTGGTCAGAGTGTGAACGTGAACCTGGTATACGTTCTCAGCCGCAGCCCAGGAATGGGCAACTTTACAGGGACCACTCAATTCCAAGCGAGAGGCATTTGTCCCAAACTGATCTCCTGCGGAGGCAGCACCTCCGACAACGACAGCTTAGCTGTTCAGGTCGGAAGGCCCCACATCCCACGCGCCGAAATGACGGCTCTGTTAAAACGTGTCCGGAACCTTCCCTAGGAAGAAGTGTTCCCCTGAAAGGACCCGCCTTGCGTCCCTCGCGGCCCCTGCCCGGTGCCCCCACCCCCAGTGCAGCGCGCCCGCACCTGCTCAGCATGCGCAGGAAGTTCCCCCTCTGCCGGGAGCGCAGCGTCCTCGCCGCCCACTGCTGCTGCCTGTGCTCCAGGGTGGCGGCCACCTGCAGGGCCACGCGGGCGCAGCGGGCGCTGACGTTCCTGAGCAGGGACAGCACCTCCAGGACGGCGCGCGGGCAGAACAGGGTGGGCACGCGGAGGCTGCAGAGCTCGGGGAGCAGCCGGGGCCGCCTGCGGGTCAGAGCACAGTCCTGGAGGCACGCGAGCCCCACCCCCCGCCAGCCCCGCGGGCCTGGGTCCCGGGGAGCGTGGCCCCCTTGCAGCCCGTTCCCCATCACTGGTTTGACCGGGAAACACGGGCATGTCCCCGGGCACACGGCAGAGAGAGTGGCCACGTGTGTGACCCCGGCTGGCCGAGCCAACGTTTGAACGGTTCTCAGGATCGAACTTACTTCTCAACAGGAACGTTGTCCAAGTCATCAAAAACACGATGATTCTCAGGTACATGGCGATAGAGTTCACGCGTGATTTTCATAATTAAAGAGTCGCAGGCCTCTATTTCAGAATTATCTTCCAATCTGAGAAACAAAGTATTTAAATATACACAATAACAAAGATGCCCAATTAGCACCCGTGCAAAATAACACAGGGTCCACCACAAATCACGCTCCTTTTTTTATTTCAATTTATTCCAAAATCATAAGCATGTGATTCTGTAACAACACTATCACGCTCAAGCACGCCATGTGGCATCTTAGGAGGAACGCTCAAGTTACAGCCATAAGCTAGTACAGCCACATCATTCTCCTACAACCGCACCCCGGCAGCCTCGCTTCTGCGGAGCCTGGACCCGTGTGACTGGGCTCGGGGGCAGAGCCCTCGATCTGCAACGCAGGATCCCGAACGTGAACCGAGAGGCCACCGCGGAGGCAGCAGTGAAAACCCGTGTGGTGGCTGAAAGCGACGCGCTTTGCTGACCGCGGGGACCTGTGGCTGTCGGCCGCCCCCACGACCCTGAGTCTCTCTCTCTGTCCCCACGCCTCTCCGGGGAGCCAGGCGCCCCATGTGGCCCCCCACACGCCCCCTGCGGACGTTCCCGGTCTCCCCCTCGCCCCTCTGTCACCCGGCCTCGCTGTCCCTGCGGGTGTTTCCCCGCCAGGGGCCTCGTGACACCCGCCGGCAGCCGCAGGGCCTGCGGTCACCGCTGGATGGGGCTCACCTGGTGGCCTCCCCTCCGGCTCCTTCGGGCAAAGGCAGCAGAGGCCAACTCCGGACACACTTCTCACAGCTCAGCACCTGAGGGGGAAGGTCCATGTGCTTTCAAAGGATTTGCGATACAATGCTAGAAAAGGCACTTAAATCATTACAGGCGTTGCGCTCTCTTCCTGGAAACGTGTCGGTAAAGCAGTGCCAGGCCTTGCAGTTGGGAACCACCTGCTATGACCAGGCACGAAGGGCCGGGCGGTCACATGGGGCGGCTGGGCAGCCCGTCTGAAGTTCTGCCTGCGCCTCTGCGGCCTGGGTCCCGCCCCCCAGTCAGGGTTGGACGTAGTGGGCGGCCAGCCACCAGGAGCCTCCAGGGGCAGCCGGGCTGCCGGGGGCTCCCCAGGCCGAGCCATGGAGTGGGGGTCCTCTCCCAGGTGAAGCCACGGAGGCCGCGGCCGGCGGCCCAGGCCACGCACCCGGCACCGGGTCCTCCTATCAGATGGGGCGGCAGCCGCGCAGCCGGTCCCCAATGGCGGACCTGCCCCAGGCAGGCATGTTAAGGGGCTGCTGCTGGCACCACTGAATGCGGGCACCTTGTGATGCACCGTAAGCACCTGAGCCATCGCCTTAAAGTGAAGAGGATGCAAGAGCATCTGCTAAATAAAGAACAAGTACCAGGCGGCAGCGGCAGCGGCAGCAGCAGCAGCAGCAGGGACAGCGGGAGGAAGAGGACGGTTTGAAATGCTCTCATGCGAGAGGAAGCAGCAGCCGCAGCCACAGAGCCCGGCGGGGGAGGGGCAGAGCCTCCCTCCTGGGCCCCCGGCCCCCACTCCCCAACTCTCCTCCCTGGGGCCGGGGCCCTCTCCCCCGCGGCCTCTCTGGGCCTGGGTGCCCTCAGCAGGCGCCGGTGTCTCCCCGGGTGGCGACTGCCCTCCCGGGGGCTCAGACTCCCCCAGGCGGCGAGCAACACGGGCGCCCTCGTCCCCGCCCCCGCCGGGGAGGGGCCCTTCTCCCTGGAGTCTCCGTGTGTCTGTGGCCACCAGGCCGGGCTCCGCAGGCCCGGGCTCCGTGCTGACCCCTCGGCGCGCTGCGCAGGCCCCTCCCCAGGGCCACCTGCCCGGCCTGCGCCCGCGCCACGCACAACACAGCGCTGAGCTGGCTGCCAAGCTGAGCGACCTGCAGGAGCGCATAATGGTTTTCTGTTGGCTTGTTTCCCTTGTAAGTTAGCAAAGGCTGGTAAAGAAATTCAACATTTTCCATCACTGACAAGCAAACACTGACGGGTCCTGGGTTAAGGACAACAAGAACAGCCCGCAGGGCAGTTTCCAAGTGCCACTCGCTCCGTATAGGCGACACCTGACGAAACGCGAGCCATCACACTTTACCTGCTGCGCCAGAGCCCGAGGCTCAGAGCCTGGGGCAACGGGGCCACCGCCACACACCTGAGCCAGCACGCGAGGCCGTTCACCTGGGCCAGCTCAGGAGACCACGCACCCGAGGGACACACCTCAGATCGGCAGACCCCTGACCCGCCCTGACGAGCCGCTGGAGCCCTGGCGCGGCCCCCCCAGCCCCCGCCCTGCAGCCCTGCAGCACGGGGACGTGCACGCGCCCTGCTGCTGCGTAGCCACGCGCAGCGCGCCTGGGTTTTACCTGTTTCCTGAGCAGGGCGGCGGGGTGGAAGCGGGCGCTGTAGCCCGCCGCGCGACAGACCAGCGCCTTCACGGCTGCCTTCTCCTGGTGTGGAAGAGACAGACATAAACGCCTGCGACCTCTGGTCAGGCTCCTACTTTCCTTCCACTGAGCTTTTTCAGTCACGTAGGAGTCTGACTTCTCATCGTTCCCTTCACGGGACTCCGCTTGGCGGAGCCACGCGAAGCTGTGGCTTAGAGAAGGCCGGAGGCAGCAGCAACATTGTAACCAGTCACACGATTGTGAGTGAAGCTGGAGAAAAATGAAGAAAATGCCAGCACGCCTCTTGTCCACAACACGACACAAGTGGAAGCAAGAAAAAAAGGTTGTGAACATTTGGAAAATTTAACAGATTCTCCTGAAAACAGTTAAATATTAAAAAATCAATGCAACTAAAAGAATTACGTAGCTCTGAACACATAATTGCTAAGCACAAACACTGACAAAAGAGGACAAACGTCACTCTGTGCAGCCGACGTCACGGCAATGGAAAGTCCAGGTCAGCTGACCAAATGGCTGGGAGAGATGCAGGAGCCAGGGAGCGGCCCCGCAGCAGAGCCGATGGCCAAAGTGGCCAGACGCCCGGTCGCTCCAGCTCCTGAGACCGCACGGCATGGGCGTCTCCAGGCGGGCACTGGAGACGCGGAAGGGCGCCCGGGGCGGGGGGCTCCATTTGCGGGGGGCGGCCTAGACCCACAGGGGGAGGGCGGCGATGGCCCGAGAGGGCGGGGCACAGGCTCCGCTCCGGGCAATGCCCGGGGACTTGCGAGCCGGGGGGAAACCGAGGCCCCTCTGCCCGCTGCGCTGAGAACCGAGCGGGCGGGCAGGCCCAGACGGCGCAGGTGTCCAGGGCGGGTCGGAGCGGCGGGCAGCTTGGAGCGGCGGGGCGGGGGTGGGCGCCACAGGCTGGGACCCCTTCGTCCAGTCGCAGACGGGGGGCGGGGTGGGATGTGGGGGACCAGGGCGGGGGGCCGGTGCGGGTCCTGGTCAGGGAGCACAGCATCCGCTCTCCTGCACGAGCCGGGCAGGCGCTCGCTCCTCTGGACTTTAAACTGAGTCCCTGTGACGTCCGCTCGGGACACTAACTTTTTCTATCTTGTTTGAGCTGCTAAACAGCTTTAACGATACTTATTTCATGTATAGTCTGAAAAAAGATTAAAATACCAGTAACGCATTGTAATCTAAATTACTTAAGAAATTAGTTTACTTATAGATACAAGTACGGCACCCTACCAGTATAAAAACAGCTGTAAAAATTTCCATTATATCTAGTTGATCCTGTTTTATACTCTTTGGTTCTTTCAGTTTGCAAGTCCCCACGCAAACGCGCTCTCAGGAAGCGGGTCACATTGTTTTAGAGCGGACTGCGTCACAGGGATCGGTTACGAGCCCGCGTGTGCGCGGCCCTCGGTCCTCGGGGAGGCGCGGAAGGTCGGCCACACTGCACAGGGGACCCCGCTCTTCCCTCGCGGAATGACAGCGCTGTCTCCCCCCCGCACGTTACCTGCAACTCGGCCACGACCTCTGCGTCGGCGAACCGCAGCAGCAGCACCAGGGCGAAGGCCAGCAGCTGGCCCGCGACGGCCCTCGGGAAGCCGGCCAGGCTCACCTCCCCGTGGCTCAGGCGGTCTCGGAGGCGAGGGCCCTCCTGGTGGTTCAGGAAATCCCAGAGAAACTCCTTCCGGAAGGTGGCAGGGAGCCCTCCGTGAGCGGCCTCCGCGGAGGGCGAGGAGGAGCCGGCCCCGCGCGGCGCAGGGCCTGGACCAGGAGGCCGGCCGCGGGGGCGGGGGTTGGGGCCCAGGGCCGCAGGGAGCCCCCACCCGGGAGCCCCACCCCCTCCCCGGGGCCTGGGGCCAGGCTGAAAGGGGGGCCGAGCGGCCGGCCGTCTGAACGCTAACACACAGCTGCGTGGGTGGGTCCAGGGCTGAGTGAAACGCAGCCTTTGTTTTCTTAAAGTTTTACTGATTGATATGAGAGAGGAAGGGGGTGAGGAGGAAGAAGGGGAGAGAGGGGAGAGAGGAGAGCAAGAGAGAAGGGGCACCAATCTGTCACTGAACCCGCCCGCGCACTCGCTGGTCGACCCTTGCATGACCCTCACCAGGACCGAACTGCAACTTGGGGACGATGCTCCAGCCACCTGAGCTACAGGCCTAGCAGAGGTGCCCTGCTCCTATCGGCACTTCCTGCACAGAGGGGCGCTCAGTCTCGCGGCAGCAGCAGGAAGAGCCCCGCGGGCTCCTGCGCAGGCACAGCCTGGCATCTCCTCACACCCCGCTCCCCCCCGCCCCCGTGCCCTCCTTTCATCTCCGAGGCCCGATGAAGGCAGGATGAAGGCAGCTGCTTCTCTCTGAACAGCCCATGTCCCGGGCCTGCCCACAGGTCAGAGGGGAAGGGGCAGAGAGCCGCTGACCCAGGCAAGGTCCCGAGGACGAAGGTGCCAGACCCAAGAGGGAGCAGAGCCCTGACAGATGAGCTCCGCCCCTAATCCCCAGCGGCGGGAACGGGGCCCAGCCAGCGGCGGGTCTACGCCGCACAGCAGCACCTCCGCCGCCAAGTCCTGGTTAGAAGGACTGAACTCCCAATTACAGCCCAAAGCAGTTGCCGCAACACCTCCATAAAACGAAGCGGTAAAGAAGCGGTAAAGAGAAAGCGGCTCTAACCCTTCACTGACTCCCTTTCCACCTAACACGCAAGCTGTGGGTCTCATGTGCCCATCGCTGACCTCCCAGAGCCAGTAGAGCCCCCCAACCCGCCTGAGCGCCACGCACACCGACATGGCGCGGGCAGCGCGGACGGCTCCACAGCCCTCTCTGCACCCAGCCCAGGCCGGAGTCACTGCCACGCAGGGCCTGCCAACCACACGCAGAGACGGGGCGAGCAGAGCGAGCCCGCCTGGCACTTACCATCGCAGGCTCTCCAAGGAGCAGGGGAAGCCGATTGACTGTGCCGTCGCTCAAGTGCTTCGCCAACATCTGAAGCACCAAAAAGACGTTGCGGACTTGGGAACTGTTAGGTGAGCCCCATGCCAATCGCAGGAAATGAGGGCCGACGGACAGGCAGCCCCACCCCTCCCCCGCCCCAGGTCAGGCGCTCTCTTCACCTGTCCAGTGGCCTGAAGCACGTACGTCCCTAATGGTGAGGGTGCGTCTCTGTGCACTGATGTGTGGTTATGGGTACGCTTGTGTTTGTGTGTGTGCGTATATGTAAATTACACGTGTTTATATGTACACATGCATGTTTGTGCACACTTGTGCCTGTACTTGTATGTGTGAATGGTGGCGCACGTATCTGTACACGTTTATATGTATACGTGCATTTATGTGTGCTTGCATGTGCATGCACACACCTGTGCTTATATGTGTATGTGTGTATCAGTGCGTGTGCCTGTATGTTTGTGTGTGTACGTGTGCTTGGTATCCACCACAGTTACTCTGGGCCACACCCCTCGCCTGGACTGTGGCACCCAGGCGCCCATCCAGCCCTCTGTCCCTGACCCCACACAGGCCGGGCTGCACCGTCGAACCCAGTCCCCAGAGCCCCAGGTATGTAGGCAGTAACAGCGCACCACGGATCCACAGGACACACACAGGTCGACACGCACATTCCTTAGTCCCCTGCCACCTCTGTACTGAGGAACTAACAGCTGTCGACAGGCAGAGGGACCGGGAGGCCCGCACCCCGACACGAGGGCTTCCCTTTGCTTCCTCGTGCAGGCTCACGCCGACGCACCTGAGAATCACTGTCCTGGATGCCGCAGACAAGAGCCTTTCTGCTCTACCAGCGGCGACAGGTCTTTCCACGGTAACGTCACCGTCAGAATCCCACCCCGCAACGCGCAGATGAAACGCATCAGCGTGGACTGCATACTCCCAACCGGAGCTGATGTGTATTTCATGTGCAAAGCGAGTACGTGTTAACCCTCAATCCAACGTGCAAGTCTCTAAATAGTCACAACACGTGCTGTTAGCGTCTCCTGGTCACTTCCAGCTTCGGCCTCTCTGTAACTTTCTGTAACTTTAGACACTTGGCCACTACCACTGGGTCTCCATTAGCCTGGAAACCATATTCGACGCTGAAGTTATTTTGGTTTATATGACTGTCCACATTTCCCTACAAGCATGTGAATTATGGCTAATCTTTAACTTTGTATTTGTGTTTGTTTCAAGATACTTTATAACTTAGAAGTTTACTTACGTCATCAAAGGTCGTGTAAAGAGCTGTGGACTTCAGGAAAGGAAAGAAAAAAAATAATTAAAGCAAAATACAAGCAGAGTGACACTGTTTAAAGCAGGAAGAATTCTACGACACAGCAACAAATAGGAAAACTTCTTTTGGAAACACCTTCACGTAGCTGGGAAGATGCCTGGAGCAGACACAGGCTGCACAGAGACGTGAAAACGCGGCGAACTGCCCCGTGAGAACTCCCACAGGGGGCCCCTCGCAGCCACGGTTCTGTGACTTCGCAGACCGCCACCCACTCAGACAGGGTGTCCTGCTGACACTGCTATTTGCATGAAGCAAGAACAATGGAATGTTGTCTCCAACAAACAGCCTGTTTTCCACACTTGGTGGCATAACCAGTAAAGAGTTTACACACGGGCTTGGGTGCAAGGAACTCCAATCCCAGCTCCGCCCTCCAGACCCCGGGCCTCTCTGCACGACAGGGCCTGAGCGTGACCAGCTCCAAAGGCTGCGGGGACTGGGGAGATCTTACACGTCGCATGATGAAATCCGCATTTTGTGAGAACCAGCTGTCAAGAAGTATTCTTACTTATTAATCCTCACTACCGTATTTTCAACTAAACGTTATGAACTGTTCAACACTTACTACTGTGCAGGTGACTCTGGAGTCTACCTTCAGCTCCCAAACCTGTGTTGCTGGCCCCCAAATTTTTTCTGGGGCCTATTCTAAATGTCCGACTGCCCACAAGACATCCCTCGAACAGCCTTGCAAAAGCTGGACCTTTCATTTATCTGCACAAGCCACATGCACTGACTTCTCTCTTCTGTTATATGAGTGGTAAGAATGTCTTCTCTCTCACCCCCCTACATGACCTCCTTAAAAGTTAGGAAGTCTTACCACCTTCACGCCTCCCATTGATCTCAAAGAGACCTCCTGCCATGGCGAGGTCTCAGTAAATAACAAGAGTGCTTGCATAGCACTTTAAAGTTTTACGAAGTATTTTCACATGTTGCTGTACAAATAAATTGATGCTAAGCTCATCATAGATAAAAGCCTGGCTGTAAAATTACGATATTCCTTGGTAAGTTACATGGCCTGTGGAAACAGTCATGCTATTATTTGTGCGAATGACAAATAACCCAATTTATTTACACCACGCAGCTGTGCAGAGGCGGGTCCCCCACCTGACGTCACACCCGGGGGCACTACGGCGCGAGCTGTGCCAACCAGGGCGCTGGCTCTTTCTGCCAGGAGCTTCGCCACACTGTTCGGAAAAGCCTACATGAAAGGCACTGGGTGCTGGCACCTGGGGACAGGCGTGCACGCCCCCCCCCTCAAGGAACCCGCACCAGGGACCTGCACGAAACGCCCTGCGGAGCTGCGTCAGGATAATGCAGAAAGAGAACAGAGAGACCGCCGCGGTTAACGTGCGCGGACAACGCCCTGGGAGGTCCCAGCCACGGTCTGCAGGGTCAAGCTGGACGGTGGGTAACCGACGAGAGAGCCTCGCCCGTCCAGAACTAGTGAGGAGCTGAATTACAGTGACGGAGTTAGGGGCAAACAAGGGGGGAGGCTGCGCTGGATGCTGAAATCCTCACATGCTCTGCAAAAGGTGTAACCCTCGCGCACCAGGCGCTGGGGTGCCATTACAGAAGACAGGAATATTCGTGAGTTTGGAAGGCAATTGGTGGCAGTGTGAGAACAGGCTAGAGAAGGAAGGGCACTGTCAAGGCTGGATGGGGGATGAACTAATAATTGCCTACAGGTGAGCTGAGGAGAAGCCAGGTGAGGCTTCTGTGTCAAAGAGAAAAGGCACAAAGCACCTTGTGGGCAGCGCAGACCGGCAGCGCGGGAGACTGAGTGGCCGGCTACGGAGAGTGACGTGCAGGCAAAGGCACAGGAAAGCACCGAAGTTTGGGGCCAGAGCGGCTGGGAAGACAAGGACAGCAGGGGATTTGTGGGAGGACAAACATGCCTGTTTGAAATAAAATAAGTTTGAGGTGCTGGGGAAAACCCACATGAAGATACTCGGCAAAGCAGGGGGCGGAGAGCCCTGAGAGTCCAGCCTGGAGGCACCGGCACTTCGGGCTACGAACTGTCCTCTCAGCAGCTTTGGCTGCACCAACAACCCTTGATACTTGGGGCTTCAATTTTCACCAGGGTCCAGGTGTTTTCTAATTTCTGTTCCCACTGAGGTGGCAGCATTAGGCATGGGACTGTGTGAGGTCTCCCAAGGAGCAAACACAGAGAGAGGACGGGACTCAGGACAGGATTTCAAGGAATGGCACAATAAATGGGTAAGAAGAGGAAGATGAACGAGTGAAAGAAATGAGAAAAGAAGGCCCGTCCATGGCAGATGCTACTGTTCATCCTATAATACACCGTCCTCCTCTTCTCAGCAGCGGTTTCTGTGATAGGGACCCAGGAACATCTCCAAGCTACCGGCTGCTGGGTTTTGGCCAAGTTTTGGCCAAAAGGAAGTGGTGTCCTTAAAGAGGGGACATGCAACAGACCACGGACCACCTTGTGGGGTTACAATGATATGCCAGGAATTACAGCTACAGAGAGAAAACACAAGGTTACTAGTTTTATGACATCGCTGAGTGGAAAAGATGACTTGGAAATATGAATAAAATAAACATAAATCCTATAAAGTCATTACAAAAGGAAGCCAAAAAACATGAGAGCTCTTAGCCAAAAAGTGCATTTGATGCACACACACCCCTAGGACATTAGGAGCGTTTGCATAGGCCCAGAGACCGCCACGACGGCCACAGCAAACAGCGCCGCACACCTGCCGGAAGAGCCCGCGTACCTCGGCCGTCAGCAGTCTTTCTGGACACTTGTTAACTGTCACAAACACGTTCCGAAGGCTGGCCTCCAGCTGCGTCAGTACCAACATGGCACAGTCGGCAAACCTGGGAAGGGGAAGGCCATCAGCGTCACGGCCGCTGTGCGCGCTGGCCGCGCCGCAGACACGGCCGCCACGTGTCCCGGGCAAGGAGGGGCGGTGCCCTCGCTACCACAAGACAGGAAGAGCGTCAGAATCTCTCTCTACACTAGCAACTGTAAAACTTCCCCGCATTTTAATGTATGACAGGCCTTTTTTAGTGCCTCAGTAGGGAAAAATATCATCGAAATCCACTTAGTTCATGTAAAAAACCCTCCCGCTCAGGACTTCAGTGGGTCGTCTGGGCCTGTGCGTGGCACGTCAGCAAACGGAACGCAATGGTCAAAGGCCGCGGCCGCCCGAGTGATGCGCCGGCTTGCTCTCCAGGGACCAGGCAGGCAGGCCTGACTTCCGCTTGGTTTCCGATGCGCTAACACGGGACACAGACAAACTCGCAATGTTTTAGAAGTTGATTCTAAAAAGTAACAATCTCTACGACCTGTGCCATGACACGCAACACACAATCCCCAGGCCTTTTCACTGGTCAGACGGAGGCGTCTTTTTCACGAGCAGCCCAGCTCCCCGCCCGCCCTCCTGGACCAGAGAGAGGCCGACATCGCACTCTCTCGCCGCAGGGGCCCGGAGGCAGAGGGTCTGAGGAGGGCCTGGCCCCAGCGTTCGGCGCCCGCCCGTGCCCCTGCCCTTCCGTACCTGTGGGCCTTGAACTTGCTTAATGCCACTTCCCAGTACGGCAACAGGATTCTTAATATGAAAGTGGATTTCTTCATCAAGTCTTCCAATATGGAAAGCACCTCATCGGTAACATCTGCAAAACAGCAGTTTTTAAGCACAAACCTCAATCACCCCAAAGGACTGAATGCCCCTGGGGAGTGGGGTCGATGGGCCCCCCCACGGAGGTGAGCCGGAGCCCGGGCCGCCCGCGCCGTCCAAGGGCGAGGAAGGCCGCCCGGGATCGGCCACCGCCAAGGGGCCGCAGCTGCTTCTGAGGGCAGCAGGCGTGGACAGCAGGCGTGGACAGCCACGCCTGCTCAGTGGCCTCGGCTGGGACATCCTGCAGAGGAGCTCGAGGTTGACCAGATGACCATGCTGACCAAGGAACTAGATTTTCAGAAGGTGCGGGAACCAAGAGCGAATGCCAAGGTGAGCGATAAACTTTGGGTGCTTACGACATGTTGAAGTAGGTCTGTCCTTGGCGACAGATGTCCCAATCTGCGGGGGATATTAAAAATGGGAGGCTGTACCTTCAGGAGATCTCTGTACCTCTCTCTCAATTTTGTTACATACTTAAAACCCCTCTTTTAAAAAGTCTTAAAAATAGCCCTGGCTGGTGTGGCTCAGTGGACTGAGCGCTGGCCGGTGACCCAAAGGGGTCACCAGTTCGATCCCCAGTCAGGGCACAGGCCTGGGTTGCGGGCCAGGTCCCCAGCATGGGGCGCACGAGAGGCAGCCACAGATGGATGTGTCTCTCCCTTTCCCTCGCTTCCTCTCTGTCTAGAAATAATACAACCTTAAAAAAGTGAATAAATAGGAATAAGGAAGCCTTAAGAAGATGTCGCTGGCCGTCCAGACCACCGCGAGGGTCCGGGGCACGAAAGGCTGGGCTGCGAGGGCGCAGGAGCCGTGCTGCCCCGCCCCAGTCTCGCTGGCAGACGCAGCCCTTACGCCTTGGCTGCCAGAGCGAGAAAGCGGGCTCGGGGCGAACGCAGAGTGGACCCGCTCCGTCCCAGCTCTGGGCCGCCCGCCCGCACGGCTCGGTGGGCCGCCTTTCGTGGAAAAGGAAGAGAACGTGCAGGAGACAGTTTGGCACAAACTGCCAGAACAAAGCACAAGAGTAAATGGCAAAGAGAAAGTACATGGTGAAATGGTCTGAAGCCACAGGTGTCGATCCTCTGAGGGACGACCTTTCTCCATCACGGACACCGATCCAGAGACGCCCCCGACAGCCCGGGCCACGGCAGGAAGGGGGCAAGGGCCACCCGCCCGAAGGGTTCCGGTCTGGGCGCCACCCACGGCTCCTCGACGTGTCTGGAGAGGCACTTGGGGGACAGTGTCAACTGCGGTACTTGCCAGGGAAGACAAGCAAATCCTCTGTCTCTGCAAGAGTGAGGAGGGGCCGAGGGGCCACCGTGCGTCCGCTCTGCTGAAGGTAGGTCTTCAGTAGCTGACCCAGCCCAGCGGTCAGCAGCACCATCATCGAACAGTACCTGGTGCAAAATGCCAGAGCTCTGCTAAGCAAATGGACAGTCACATGTACAAAAAGCTTCACGTTTAAGAGAAGCTCACAACTAAGGAAGCCAAGGGAAGTGGGGCCACAGTAGTGGGAGAAACAGCCTCTAGGCGCCCAGGTGCCGAAACCCTGGCGTCGCCCCCAACCGGGCGGCCGGCACGTGGCCACGCCCCCGGCTCAGCCACGGGGCGCCCTCAGGGGGCTGCGGCGGCTCCACTCCAAACGCCCACGTCAGCCCTCGGTTCCGTCCTCCGGGTCCAGCCTCCAACCCTCCAACCCCCACCCCCCACGATGTGCGCGTCTTGGCCGTGAAAGCAGAGACAGGCCGTCAGAGCGGGAAGGGCTCCCCGGCAACCTACTTCGGAGGCACTTCCGGCGGCGACGCGAACCCGTGCCACAGGGCGTTGCGCAGGTTGAGGCCGCTCGGGGAGCCCACGAAGACCCTCAGCACGTTCATCTGTGCGGGGCAGCGGGGGGTCGGTCAGCCGTGCCCCTGTTCCACCACTGAGCAAACAAGACGCCCCCCTTCTCCCTCAGGAGGGACGGGACCAGGAGCAGCCCGGGGCGCCGCCGCCACTGTCCCCGTCATCGTGGGGGCCACGCACCACCTCCCTGGGCCGGGCAGCCGAGGCGCGTCTCCTGCGTCCTCAGAGGCGCCCCGACTCCCGCTGGGCACACGGCAGGACATGAGCGGCGACCCCAAGGGCAGGCGAGGGCTGTCCCAGGTGGCGCCGGGCACCCAGCGAGCCCCACGTCTCCACGAAAGGGCACCGGCCGCCGGCCGCACAGCAGCCCCACCGGGGGCCGCGGGTACCCGTGTGGCAGGGCAGGGAGGGCCCATCGGGGAGGCGCAGCCACGGAGGCTCTGCCTGGGCCCCTCCTTCCCGCCCGACGCTCCCGGGTCACGTCGCCCTGTCAAGTGACAACACACCATGACGAGGACCCTGCTTAAGGGACGGGTGTGCAGCACGTCCTTCAGAAGAGACTCAGAAAGCGGACGGGGTCCCGGACTCGGAGGACACAGGCCAGGCCAGGCCAGGGAGAGCGGCCACGCCTGCAGAGATTCAGCGGGGGCGGCGGGCCACCTGCACACACCCGCGAGGGGTCGGGGCGGCGGGGGCCCTCTCCCCCCACCCGCCCGGGGAGCAGCCGCAGCCGCAGCCGCAGCGAGGGCGCCAGGTGGCGAGGAGGCTGCGGCTCCGCCAGATGCCTTCGCAGCAGCGCCCGGGCCACTCCAGGGCTCCTCGCACGCGCAGCCTTAACCCTGTGGTATTGATCGGTAATGACTATGGTAACAGAAGTGACTTAACGTCACTGGTTTTAAGTTTATTTGACTGTTCATACCACCTGCGCAGGCAGAAACATGTCACCTGCGGGTAGAAGCCGCTGCAGGTGGACCGAAGGCTCAGCACGCAGGCAGAGAACAAAGGACAGGTCAGAACAACGGGGAAATCGGTGTAACGAGGCATTTCTGCCTCACCCGCAGTCACGGCGCACCTTCCGCACAGAGAAACCAACCAAGGCACAGAAACGCCGCCCGCAAGGCGGCAGCAGGTGAGGGACCGCCGTAAGGCCAGGAAGGCGTCACTGAAGCCACAGGCAACGTGGGCCGCGCCCACATGGAGTCGCCGCAAGCCTCTTTCTGGCTGAGCAGCCCCCTCCCCGGGCGCTGGTGCGGCTTCTCCGCCGCCCCGGCCCTGCCCCTTCCTGCTGCCCGACCTCCGCCCGCGCAGCGCGGACCACGTGCCACCACGAGGCTCCGGCACAGCACACGGCTCTGCACGGTCCTCGCTTTTCTGACCGACTGCTACACGTTGCCCACCCTCAGTCTGTAGAACTGCAAAGGGCAGAAGCTTGTGTGAAAAGTACTGGTACTTAGAACAAGAATGTTCTGTCTCCTTTGAAGAGTTAAAACTTTATTCTAGAATAAGTCAGGGTTATCATTATTACACGTAATTCATGGAAGCAAGGGGCTTAAAGTTGCTCACATGACTGGCCCCCAAGGCCATCACACCACTAAGACTCAGGATAGGAGAGAGCGTGTCTTCTGGCTTCGAGAGCAGCGATTGTCAAAGGAGAGGTGAGGGAAAAATACGCTGAAGACACCTGTACAATTCCTTCCCCCTTTAACCAGCATCCGCCTTTGAGGAACGGAGGGCAGCTACCTTGGCTGCCCCGTGCTGTGCCCACCCTATGGGCCACGGGCGAGCGGGCTTACCACGGGCGTCCCAAAGACCTCAGCAAGCTCCTCGGACGCAAGCAGGTCTCTTAAAAGGAAGGGGCACTCTTTCCCGACCAGCAAAAACACCTGGAAGTCAAACAAAAATCGCGTAACAGTCTCATCACAGTAAGCCAAGCGACGCCCAGGAGAAACGTCTCATAAGGCACACGCACAAACGGGGGGAGGAGACGAGACACCAGGGCACCGACTTCCTAACAATTCAAAAAATACTAAGTATCTGTACCAAGCAGTTGCGTTTTACAGGAGAATGATAATTAAAACCAGGGACTCTGAGGCACCTATGGAACAGTCTGACTGTCATCCAGGCGCTTGAATGGCCCGGCAGCGAAGAGCTCTCGCACTTACGTCCCCCAGGGCCCGCTCCAGGCAGGACGTCAGCTTCATCAGGCTCAGAGAAGCGGCCGCAGCCTCCAGCCTCCGCAGGGCACCCAGCAGTTCTGGGAACAACTGTGTAGAATGAGATACGTGTTAGACTTCATTGGCTGAATGAGAAACGTTTCCCAAAGTAACAGGCTATCCATAAAATTCAATCCTCTAAAGATTTTGTGTGTCATATTCTAATGACTTTCTTGCTAAAGGTAAACATTTTCTACGTAAATATAACAACACTTACATAATGAAAATCTCCTGGCTAAGGAGTTCTTTGGAAGTTCTTTTTTTTAAGTGTTTACAGTTAAGTGGCATAACTGTAAATTGAAGAGTCAAATATCTTGCCCTAAACTGCATTTCCCGTTCTGATTCGTTCTTAGGAAGAGACAGAGGGCGGGGCGGCCTGCCGCGCACACGGGCGGTCACGCGGGGCCACGGGCCTGCCGGGCTGAAGGAGCAGCGCGAAGCGCCTTGGGCGGGCTCGTCAGGCTCTGTGCTCTCCCGTGGCATTTAACGTGCCCAGCGGAACGCCCGCCTGCCCACCCACCCAAACAGGGTGTGGGCCCTGCACGCGTCCCCTTCGCGGTGACCAGGGCCACCTCCCCTCCAGGCTCCGGGCCCCCCGTCTCTCTGTCCACAGCACTCAGTGCCGGAGCCGGCACCCACAGATCGAGCCCCCCACCCCGACGCTGCATCCCCAATGCGCCTGCGGCCCAAGGCCGTGCCTCTCAGCTGCGGCCTGGGGACCCCACAGGACAGCCCCGTGTTGCCCTCACAGGCCTCGGGCTTCTGCAGGGTCGGAGGAGCCCCCCAAGGAGCCCCTTTAAAACGAGCACCTGACAAGGGTTTCTAAGAGGAACTGCGAAGGCGAACCTCCGGGGAGCGTGTCCACTGCAGCCAGGGCGCGAACCGCGCTGCAAACTGCGCCTCGGTCAGGGACGACAGGTGTGAGTGCGCGGCCTCGCACACGGGCCCCAGCAGCCGCACGCTTTCCCGGAAATCCAGGCCCTGGGCTTGGGGACAAGGCAGCAGGTTAGCGCCCCAGCCCGCAGCACGGGCAGGAAGACGTCCGAGCCGTCCAAGAGAAAGCGCTCCGACTGCAGGATCTCCACGAGACCAAGATACCGGTTTGCAGCTGGGCTTACAGGAAAGACACACTTACGCTGGAAATAAGCGCTTACCTGATTACAAAAGAAAAATACGCTATCAGTAGAGAGTTTGGGAAATACAGAAAGGTTCAAACAAGAAAAAGAATATTTTCTTCAATTTCTTTGCCTGTATATGTTTATACAAAATGAGGTTCATACTGTACATGTAGTATTTTAACCTGAATTTCACTTAACATGATTAGACTATGAGGTTTCCAATGACCTTAGTTATTTTAGAACACAGTTATCATAGGAATTTTTAATAAGTTTGGGGCTGGATATTCACATGGTTCACGATAAAAAAATACACGAGGGTGAGTCCCTTCCTGGAGCAGCTGCTGTTACGGGATCCTGTGTGTATCTGGAAACGGCTACACACACAAAAGCAAACGCAGGCACGCGGCCCCCATCTTCCCTCCTAGCGATGCGGCCCAGGAGGCTGGCACTGGCGAGGGGCCCTCACCCTTCTTCGGCGCCGCACACACTCCCTTGCGCGGTCCCACGCCTCCCCAGGGGTCCCTGCCGCCCGGCTCGGGCGCGCGCCGCCCTCCCTCCCCTCCCCCACCCCGGCGCTTTCGGACACCTTGACAAGCAGAAGCCCTGCGCACACCTGTCCTGCCCGTAAGTGTGCCCGCCCCGTAAACCCCCCCGCGGCAGGCCCGCCGGCCAGAGCACAGGCGTTTATAACTACTTCTGACTACTGCTAAACTATTGTTGTAACTATTTTTTACATCTATTGTTAAACTTCCAGGTGAACTCCCTGCTCCACAGAATGTGCAAAAACCAGTGGAAGGCATTTAAAATGACTGCGTAGTATGTCACTGGTCATTTTGCACCCTATTCATGGCTTGTATTTTCTACCCTTTCCCCCGGGCCGGCCGGCCTGGAGCTGGGATTGTGGTCCCTGCCCCCTGCCGCCCTCTGACCTCTCACTCCCACGCGTGGCCCCCTCAGCCCGGCGACCCTGCGCCTTCTGGGCTCCTGCAGCCTCGTTCCCTCTCTTTTCACCCATTTCCTTTTCCCTCCCAAGTTACGCCAGTTTAACGACATCCTCTAACCAGACGAGTGTAGCCGCCACAAGGGACGTTCCGCAGGTCAGGCCGTTTACAGGGCAAGCGCGGGCGGCGGCCGGGGTGCGGAGGGGGCATACCTGACCCTGCGGGGACCACGCACTCTGCGATTGTCCCCCAGAGCACCTCCCCGTCCCCGGTGACAATGCTCTCGACGTCGCAGCTCTCCGTGCATTCAAACCCGAGCTTGCAGATTAGGTCGTACACGGAGGGGGAGAGACAGGTGGTGACAGAATCCTCCAGCACGACCTGAAACAGACGGTAAGCGTTACTGTTTCACAGGACTGAACACGGAAGAGTGCTGACTACCCGCTTAACACGAGAACATGCTATCGTAAGAGCCGAAGGTCATCAGGCAGAGCTCTTGTTACCACTCTGTGGACGTTACGAGAGCTGTGTGGTTAAAACATTCTGATTAAATAGTGATTAAAGGTAATTTATGTAAATATTTTCAAATAACGTTTACAGATTTAAGTGTTATGAATCATAACATCCGTTCAGCATGAGTTCACAAAGGCTCTGTTTTGTGGATGGTGCATCATTCCCTTCGGCATTCCTTTCCATCCCAAAGTTATCGAAATGAGCAATTTTTAAAAATGGGGAATGGAAAAGCAGGAAATCAAGCAAAATGAACCAAATTGGAGAAAGCAGCAACCCACACCGCTCCTCCGTGAAGGCCCCTCACGCTCATCCCGCAGGACACCAGGTCACCCGGGCCTCCTTCTGCGGCGTCAGGCGGAGCGGCGCTGGCCCCAACACTGGTCGGTTCTCGCGGTGGCTCCTGGGCCGGCGGGGACCTGCTAAAGCTCCCGCCTGCGCCTGCGCAGTACCCCCGCCACCCCGCCATTCTCTGGAAGCTTCGCTGCCCTCCAGGCTGGTCGTCCGCCAGCGCCCGCAGGCCCAGCAGCTACGGAGCTGCCTAGGACACCCGTGTGAATCGCTCGGGTCCCCTCTGACTCCGCAGAGCACTGCAGGCGGCCGGGGGATGGGGGCTTCCGGTCCGCTTTCTGGCCTCTGCGTGTCACCCCTCGTCAGCCGCTGAGTGGTCCGCACGCTCCCAGCCCTTGTGAGCCCACGTCGCCCCCCACCCCACCAGTGAATCCCGAGCGCCCCCGCAAGAGTTGCCTCCAGGTGGCTGAGCAGCACCACCTCCTCCTCTGAGACCGGGTTTCAGCTCTAAGTTGAAACCCCACCCCCTTCCCGTGGCTCCCGGTGCTGGGGGAAGGGCGCTTTGGGGGATCTCTTCTCATCCTCCCAGAAGCTTTTTAACTTCTCCCGGTCCGCACACGAGTGTGGCTCGTCTCCGGGCAGATGCAGAAACACGATGCCCTACGGTCAAGTTCACATTAAAGGGACCCCTTGCATTTTTAAAAGGCGTCCGGACTCTGAGGGAATGAGCTGCGGCTGTGGAGCGCAGGCTGCAGGCAGCTTTCCCGTTTCGACGCACAGCCCATGGGCCTCTCCCGGCCACCCGAGTTGTAAGAAGCGTTCTTTTTCTGGCTGTTGAATCTCTATCAACGCAGGTGCCCTCCGCCTCAACCAAACCACAAGGTCTCAGTGCAGAGAAACCAGGTCTTACACAACTTTGTTCCCCAGCAGCATGGCCCCTCGCACGGGATGGAACAACCGGCCCGTCCTGCTCGGAGCTCCTCCGCCCTGACCCCCACCAACAGACACTCGGTTCCAGACATCGGCTTTTAGCCTAACTCCTCTGCTCACGCTGGCGTGGACTGGTAAAGACCTCGCTGTCAAATAACAGAATCCGACCGCCAATCAACATATACTAGGGGCTGCAATACGGAAACTGCCCGTCGTGACTAATCCCGTCCTGGGCACCCGTTACAAGCACGCCTGCCCCGCACGTCCGCGGGTGCGCTTCACCCGGGTCTCCTTCGGGACCTCGGAGTCTCGCCCAGGGCAGCACGGGGCGTTGCAAACCATTTCGGATCACACGGGCTTAAATTTGAGTTCGTTCTCAGAATCTTTGTACCTCTTGTCTTGAAAAAGTTACCTAAAGTATCTCAGCCTCAGTTTTAACGGCAAAGTGGTGCAAACTATTCTCCCTTCCAGCAGTACAGACAACACTTGAAGAGCCTCGGGCACGCAGGGCTCAATGGCAACTACAGCTGAGGCTAGTGATCGGAATCTGAGGTGTTGCTGCGTGAGGAAGGGAATGAGTATCATCCTCATTGCGAGGCGACCCAGAGCCCCTTCTACAGCCACTCAACGAGGCACTTAGGATTTAGTTACTTCGTGTCCACACGCCCTAAAAAGGTGAAAGATGACTTTATTGTGCAAGTGTGACCCGCAGAGGCCTTTCCACGGCGCAGGGCTGCCCACGTTGCTTGGGGTACAACGCAGATGGCCGCGGTAGGAGTTAAGCACCAGGCGATCGGAATCGCCCGCCTGCCCGACCCGGCTCCCGGCAAACAGCTTCAGGCTCCAGTAAAGACCAAGGTGTGCCCGCGTCCGCGCGCCGGGCCCCCGCGCGGCCCTTATATCGGGGAACCGAGGGGGAGTCGACCCGGGGCCGCGACAGGTTGGCGGGGGCTGCCCTTTGGAGTTAGGGCGCGCGCCCACCGTTGCGCCGGTGGCCGATGAAGGGCGGGCGTGACCCACCCGCCTCCGTCGCGGCTCCCCGGGGGCGTCGCCAACGTCTGGGATCTGGGCGGTCCCTGCCGCGCGCCCCGCCGGGGCCCACCCACCAGAAGCGCGCAAAGGGGACGCGGGTGGACAACCCCCACACGCTCTACCTCCATGACTTCCGGCTCCGAACCGCCGGCGCCGCGAGATGACGCACGCACACGCGCCCGCCCACTCCGGACCGCGCTTCCGGCTTGCGATGCGCAGGCGCGAGCCTTGCGCTCTCGCGGGAGGAGGCAGCGTCGTTTGTGGGCGGTGGTGACGAGTTGCTGGGAGTGTCGCCGAGGAGGGCGGGATGGAGAAGCGCAGCCGAAGCGGGAGGGCTCCCTCCAACCCGGTTCCTCCGCAGCCCGCGACGGCGCCTCGGAAAGAGAGAAGGCCTAGCATGTTCGAGAAGGAGTCCGTGAGTGCGCGGGCGGCGGGCTGCGCGGCCGGGAGGCAGGAGTCCCCGGTGGGGAGCGGACGCCCGCGCCGGGGCGGCGGGGCTGCGGCTCCGTAGCTCAGACTGGGCAGTTCCCGGACCGAACGAAAGCGTCCCTCCGGGCCCCAGGCTCCCCAGCCCGCACGTTTCCCGATCCCGGAGAGGGCGGCGTTGTGCCCAGAAGCTCGCGCCGTCGGTGCACCGGGCGTGCCCCCCCGACCGGAGGCCGTTGTGCGGCAGCCGCGAGGCGCGCTGCGTCCAAGGAGGAAGCCGCTCGGGGCACCGGGCGAACAAGGAGATGCCCTCATTTGAAAGACAACGGTAGACGCCGCCGTAGAAGAACGTGTCCGAAACGGATGGGAAACGCCGCTTGGTTTTACTCCAGGACAGTGAGCGCACCGACGGGTCGTTTCTCACCGGCGGGCAGCTGGCGATTCCCGCGTCCCGAGCATGGGCAGGAGTGGCCCACGCAGTTTCATCCGTATACGAATCTCGGTGTTATGCGTCCTGCAACCTTTTCCCCCGTAGCAGCACCTCAGTTTCCGTTTGTGGAGGTCGCTGGGCCCCCGCCGGATGGCGTTCTAGCGGGACGGCCTGCCACTGGCCTTCATGTCATGCCGCTGAGACCAAAGCGAGGCTGCAGAGGTGACCGGCCCGGGGCGGTTCCAGGGGGTGATGGGGAAGAATTCAAAATACGGCGACACTGAAGTGCCTCCTGCGCCTGTCTGGCCCTTCAGCCTCCCCTTTCGTTCCGTGGACTGTGTTTCCACTTAAGTTTTTGCTTGACAAGAAATCAGTTCCTACAGCTTGCAACCAGAGATTCCAAAACCTTAAACAGATTGCCAGAAATTGAAAACTTAGTCTCACTTTCGTGCATACGTTTGAGAACCTCACTTACTAGCGAGTAGCAGTTAAAAATACATTAATGGCAGAACCAAGCTCAGCTTTGTTCTAGGATTATAATTAGGCTTAATGCAAGCAAGTGCCATACAATGGGTTAAATGATTGAACTTGGGTGGTTTTAGTAGATGCAAAAAAGCGATCGACTAACTACTACGAGTGTGTCGTCTCGGGAGTCGGGGTGAAAGAGCAGGGAACTTAGGTTTTCCTGGTCTGGCCTGTCAAGGCTGAAAAACAAGCCTCAAGAGGATGAGACTTTGCAAGCTACTACATTCTACATGAAAGTTCAAGAATACTTAGAGGAATAGCAAAATATGAAGCAAATAAGGTAAAATCAGTGTCTGGTGTCACAGCTAAGTATTAGCAGACCTACCAAAAAGCAGGAAAATACAATCCAAAATAAGGACAAGAAGCAATCAGTAAATGCACCCAGACAAGATAAAAGAGAGAACTGTTATAAAAGGACACTAAAGTAGTTATTATAAAAGTTACTGTATTAACTTAGTTTTATTAAATTAAAGCACGTGCATAATTGTAAAACATTATATAACCTGTACAAGCCGGTAGAGAAAAGATTGAGCATGTTAAATCCAAATCAAACTGCTATGGATAAAAAATTAAGTCAGAGATGTAACATAACAAAGGAATTAACGGCAGATTTGACAACATGGACGAAAGATTAGCAAATCTAGAAACAGCAATGATAAAACTGGAAAAAAAATTAGGGTATATCAATAAGATAAAGGAAAGTTTCAGGCACAAATTTTATTTAATATTTTGAGTCCCCAAGTGAAGAAAGACAAAAAATATTTGAAGAATTAGCAGATGAGAAATTGCCAAACTTGATGAAAACTATAACCCCACAAATCCAAGAAGCTCATTGAACTAGCAAAAGAAAAACAATCTGCTTAAAATCAGTGATTCAAAACTTCAAAAGCAAATAGAAAACATTTTAAGTACAGAAGAGCAAAGATGAAATGACAAGAATTCCCATTAGAAGAAAATGCAAGGCAGAAGACACTTGAGTTATCTTTGAATTTCTGAAGATGCTTCATAAAGTACATTTATAGGTGAAAAACGCCCCCAGATCTGACCAATGTGGCTCTATTGTTTGGGTGTCATCCTGCTAAGTGAAAGGTTGCCACTTCCTGGTCAGGGCACAGGCCTGGGTTTTGGATTTGGTCCCTGTGTATCAGAGGTGACTGTTCAATGTTTCTCTTTTTCTCCCTCCCCCTCTCTCTGAAAATAAATAAAATCTTTTAAGTATACCAACCTAGAATTCCATGCTTATGGAGAATATCTTTCAAAAACAGACAAAATGATAAGGTTTTTCAGACATGAAAAATAATTCATCAACAGACCTATACTCAGAAATGTCAGAGGAAGTGCTTTAAACAAAAGGGATTTGATATGAGATGTAAATGTAGACAGAGAGCACTAGGAGTGGGGAATGTTCATAGCTGTATAGATTTTCCTTATTTTTAAATTTATTAGAGATAACATTAAATCCAAAGTAATAACATAATGGTTTTATAGCACATAGGCCTATGAGGTGGGAGGAGAGGGAGGGAGTACATTGTTGTGTAATGTGACTTGAAGGTGGACTGTGATAAATTAAAAATACACAGTTAGCCCTAAAACCACCACCAGGAAAGTATAAAGCTAGTGGTTTAGCAAGTGACAGAATAGAATTGTTAAAAATACTTAATTCAAAAGAAAGCATAGAAAGTACAGGAAACAAGCAGATGGGACAAATAGGAAACATACTGAATTACAGAAATCATGTTAACCATATTAAATATAAACAGCTAAATTAAAATTTGGAGGTTGTTGGGCTAGTTATAAAAGCAAGATGAAACTATACTGTCTGCAAGAAACACTTTAAAGGCACAAATAGGTTAAGGAATGAAAAGGATGAAGAAAGGTATACCATGTGAACACTGATCAAAAGAAAGCTGGAATGCCTAAGTTAATATCAGAGAAGGTACATTTCTAAATAAAGAATATGAGAGAGAAAAGGATCATTTTATTATCTAAGGTCAGCTCATTAGAAGGACATAATCTTAAATGTTTATGCACCTAAGATTAGAGCTTTGAAATACAGAAAGCAAAAGTTCACGTATTTCTTGCACAGACATCCATGATTACAGTTGTAAACTCCAACAGATGTTTCTCAATCAATAGAACAAGCAAACAAAAAAAAAAAACAACTAAGAATATAAAAGACGGATAGTACTATAACACAACTACAACTATGGGACTGCTGTAGAATACTCCATGCAACTGCAGTTGAATAAATGTTCTTTGAAAGTACACAGGAAATATTACTAAGATGTCTTGGGACATAAGACAAGTTCCAATGACTTTTAAATGAATTCAGATAATATAAAGAACATTCTCGTTACAACATAAATTAGAAATCAGTATCAGAAAGATATATGGAAAATCATAAATCATCTGAAAACTAAATGATACACTCTTAACCCATGGGTAAAAGAAGGGAAAAAAAAAGGTTTGAATGAAAATGAAAAACATGAAAAATTGTAGGGTGTAGCTAAAGCAATACATGAGGAAATTTATTGCTTTAAATACCTATATTAGATTTTAAATCAATATTTAAACCATCAGCTGATAATGAGAAAACAAAGTAAGCAAAAGGGAGGTAATGAAAACAAGTGGAAATTAATACTAAACAAAAACATTAGAGCAAATGAAACCCACGATATTGTGGAAAAAATGAAGTTGATAGACTTCCTGCCCAGATGTTGACAGACATAACTTGTGGGTCAGATCCGACACAGCCTGTTCTCATCTGGGCCACGAGCTACGAGTGGCGTATGCATTTTCATAGGTTACTTTAAAAGAATGGAGGGTGTTGAGGGAGGAAGGGAGGGAAAAGGGGGCAAGAGGAGAATCGGCAAAGACCGTATCTAGCCAGCAATGCCTCAAATACTGAAAAACGAAAAGCTGGTCAGCTCTTGCTCAAGCCGGGCTACTCAGGGAAAAATAGAGATAGCTTATTAATACGAAGCAGGAAGGAGGGGGCACTACAGACCCAATAAATGTTAAAAAGATGAGAAGGAAATACTGCAACTAAGGATGACCATATGTTTGGGCCCCCCCCCCCCACAATGGCTCTAGTGGCTCTTAGTTGTCTTCAACTTCATTTGAAACAATTAGGATGTATTGTGACAGCTGTTGTATCAGTGTGCATTAAAAAACCCCTCAAAAATGGTGAATTTTTGTGTAGCTATTTTAATATTGAAGATGAAAGAAGATATGCAATGCTTTTGGCATATTATGCTTTATTATTTCAAGAAAGGTGAAAACAAAACAAACACAACAAAAGATTTGTGCAGTGCGCAGGGAAGGTGCTGTGACTGATCGAATGTGTCCGAAGTGGTTTGTGAAGTGTCTTGGTACTATTGACATTTTGGCCAAATCCTTTGCTGTGAGGATGTCTTATTCCTTGGAAGATGGTTAGCAGCACCACTGGCCTCTACCCACTGGAAACCAATAGCAGGGGATAGCCACATACTCAAAATACCCAAATCAATAAAGTTATTGGTGAAAATGAAAAATGTGTCTTTATTTTACGGGGAAAAACGTAACAGACTTGGCTAACCCAAAATGTGGAAGTATTTATTTAGAAAAATCAAGAGGTAATAAACATTAAAATTAATAAAGTTTTAACAGCTGGTACAACAGTGGTTCTACATCAAAACAACTCCTAAAAACATAAAATGTATATTTAAATTAAAGCGAGCATCAAAATAAGTTGAAAGAGAGTAGTGTTAACATAATTACTTGGAAATAAAGCATTATTATATAAGTTCAGAGGTAAAGCATATTCCTAGTTAGAAGAACTATTACAAGGTTATGAAGTTACTTCTAGTTAACATCATTTGCAGAAAGTAGTATAAAGTTACTACCCTCTGGCCCAGATCGCCCTTCAGTCTTTCCGCCACACAGCAGCCAGCATGATCTTTGGAAGCTGGAATTTACAACCGCATTCATTTGCTTAATCCTCCGCATGGCTTCCTATTGTTCTGAGAACAAAATCCAAGCTCCTCCCCGTTCCGTGCTCCACAGCAGCCCTGCGGGTCCGCTCCTTGGTGACCTCTCCGACCTCTCCGGCCCCATCAGGTTGGCCTCGCGTCGGACGCTGGGACCTCACCTCTTCTCGGGCTCGTCAGTTCTTGCTGTGAGGTCTTGCCCTTCCTAGTCCCTGTCCCTTTTCGAGTTTCCCTGGGTCCTACATCAGGGTGGGCTCCGCTGAGGGCTCTGAGCCTGCCCCTCGGCTGGTGTCTGTCAAGTCACGCGCCTTTATTTTTTAGCTGTCACCACTGTTCCAATGAGGTTATTCACCCCCGAACACTCCTCTGCTGCCCGCAGCCCTCCTCCCCCCGCACGCAACTCCGGGAACGGGGCGTCCTGGATCGGGGCGGGGGCCAGGCCCACGGTGGACGCCTGGCGTTGTGGCGAGGCTCCACTGCGCTTCAGTGCCCAGGGTGTCGGTCTGGGCCGCCTCAGGCTCTGAGCAGATGCTTCCTCAGCGGGTGCCGACTGTCCCAGAAGACGTGCGGGTGCCAAAAGGCAGAGAAGCGTGTACCTACCAGACAGTACGCTTACCTTTTCAGCTTCAGGCTTATGAAAGTGTTGCTGAAATGATTGTATTATTTATTCAAAGATAAAAGTAAAATGAGACGATGAAGAATAAATATTTTCGTAACCTCAGGGCACAGAACACGGAAGGTGGTCCTTGCACACCTTGCGTGTCTCGTAGCCGCCCGGGTGCCCCCTCTGGGGGACAGTCTCCTAGCTCGTTTGCATCTTCTGTGGATAGTCTCAGTTATATGCGTGTTAATTTGTGTGTGATAACATATGATAGCGAGGTATTCCTTTTTCTTTACCAAGTTGACAGCAAGGGGTGAGTCAGTCAGTCTAGGACTTAACAACCACGTCGTCACACGGTGTAATAATGGACTTCCAAGCGTCATGTCAGCCTGTCCCGTTCCACCCAGGCTCTTACGTCTAAAATTTCATTTTACAATTAAAAAAAATCACCCGCCTCACCTGTGTCTCCCAGTATGCACAGATTTTGAGGGAGAGACTGCGAGATTCGTTGCACGAGGTCCAGTACGTGGAGCCCCCACTGGACGACTCGGCGGCCGACTTGGGGAAGGAGTGGAAGAGCACCCTGGCCCGGCTGAGGTTCGCCAACACCTACCGGATGGAGCCGCCGGTGAAGTTCCGGGCCCACTCGGTGGAAACCAAAGTCCAGCAGATACTAAAGGCAGGTGGCCAGGCCCGTGTGAAAGCAGTGTCTCCGCTTTGGGGGCGGGTGAACTGCCCTCGGGTGGACGGCAGTGTGGCTGTCCTGTCCATTTCCCTGTTTTAATAACTTCTTTAAAAAAGATTTTATTTATCTTTAGAGAGAGGGGAAGGGAGGGAAAGAGAGGGAGAGAAACACCCCGGTGTGGCGGCCTCTCCCACGCCCTCCGTGGAGGCCCTGGCCCGCGCCCAGGCCTGGGCCCCGACCGGGAATGGAACCGGCGACCCTTTGCTTCGCAGGCGGCGCTCCGTCCACGGAGCCCCCCAGCCGGGGCCCTGGTTGGTTTTTTATAGCCCTTCTCCAAAAGTATGAGAGTACTTCGTAGCCAGTAATTTCCACATGGAGGCCATGAGCTACATTAAATGCAGTAGGTTTTTATTATTTCATTTGGCTCCTAGTTACCCATAAAGTATTTACCCGCCTGGTTCCATGTTTCTCCTGTAACTGGAGACATGAGTAACAAAGGACACACTGAACGTGTGTGTGTGTCTGTGTGTGTGTGTGTGTGTGTGTGAGAGAGGGAGGGAGGGAGAACCGGGCCCTGACTGCGCTGAACCGGCCGCAGCCTGGCCGTGGGGGGGTTTCCTCCCTCACACTGACTGGGGGGTGGGGCTCACGTACGACACCCATCCGACCTCAGACCTGGATTCCAGGCTCCTTCAAAGTGCGTCTCGGTGTCACCCTGATGTTGGCCCCAGCGCTGGTCGCACTAGTTTGGGGGCCTGGAGGCTACATTGTTCAGATGGAAAGGATTCTCTTCACCGTCTTCCTGACAAAGGATCGAACTACAGATTTTTTTGTAACAGGAAGTTTGCTTGAGGCACCGGCTTTCTGAATGCCCTTTGCCTCTTTGGTCTCCAGGTGGGGCCCCGTGTGCGCGGCTTCTGGCACCCAGACGCCCGCCAGCAGGCCCCCAGCCTGGCCGCCCCGCCAAGTGGCCCTTGTGTGAAGACCCCCTCGGGGCGGCAGGGTGCGCTCCTGCCGGACCCGCTGGTGCGGGCGGGCCGCTGGGAAGAAAGCCCGGCCTCAGTTCAGCGTGCACCGGTGGTGCCTGCCCCTTTAATTCTTCAAGGGAATGGGCTTTTACGAACACGGAACAGCAGTTAGGCGACTCGCCCTCCAGGTTCCCCTCACGATCACACACACAGATGCGTCTACACGGAACGAGTGGCTGTCAGGCCACGTTTGGTGAAGGTGTTACAGCTCACGGCGTCAGGAAGTGAAGAAATTCGACTCAATGCAATCCAACAAAACACTCACCGCGTACCTTCTTCCCTGATCTAAACTAACTGCGAGCGTGCGGGGTGTGAGAGGGTGCAGTTCGGTGTGGCCCCTCAGCCCCGCCATGCGGCCCGAGTTCCGACTCACGGGCTGCAGCAGGGTTTCACGTCGTAGTTACACGGCAACCTAGAGGCTTCCAGGACGGGGCTGGGGGCGGCTCGCGGGGTGTGCGGGTGGGTGGCCGGGGGCTCAGTGAGGCCGGGGTCCCCGAACGCCCTTCTAGACACAGAAATAGATCATCTTGATGGAGATTGTGGGTGTCTTCCCCCAGGCGGTGCCGTCATTTACGTGGAAAGGAGCCCTGAGGGTCCTGGCCAGCGCGGCTCAGTGGGCGCGTCAGCCCCTGTGCGGAAGGGGGGGCTCTGACGCCCGGCCAGGGCGTGCGCCCGGGTTGCGGGCTCAGTGCCCCGTTGGCGGGCGGGTGGGGAGCAACCGATTAATTGACATTCCTCTCTCACATTGATGTTTCCCGCCCTCTCTAAAATCAATATTTCAGAAAACTTTTACAGAGCCCTTAGGTAGATAAAACATGTTAGGCAGATTCAGAAGAGAGAGGGGCTGTTGGGAATTGTCCAAAAGAGATGCACAGCCAAGTGCCTGAGGGAAAGAAATGCCTGTAGACCCAGCTTTAGACCCGGAAGTGTTCCAGAAGGGCACCCAACCAGCGGGGCTCGCTCTTTGGTTTTACATGCCCATAGGATCGGCCAGGAGCCCACCTGTTACCGCTCAGCACCCGGAACACTGGCTAATTTATCTCGGGCACCAGTCAGTCATTCAGCGGCATGTGCCCCCCCCCCCCCACCCCGCTGGGTGGTCCGGGTCTGCGTGCTCCTTGGCCCCCACCGGCCTCCCGGCTGCACGTCGGTCGTCAGCAACTGTGATGAGAGACTGATTTCCTGGGCCTTCTGGAGGCCGTGGGGGGAGGTTAGGCAGAGGTGGGCCTGGCCGGCGGGACGGCGCAAGAAGCTGGTGCCGCTCGGGCCTGAGGAGCCCTTGGCCGTTCGATAGCGTGATCCCGTGAGGGGAACTCACAGCTTAGTGGAGAGTAATTGGACATAATTAAAAACCACACTAAGTTTTCGTCAAAATTGTTACTGAAAGAAATTGTAAAGCATACGTGCATTTATATTATTTGGTTAAAAAGTTACATGTATTACTTAGACATGTGTTTTTTACTTGAATCTTCAGAAAATATTTGGTTAGAATTAATTTTTTTAACTTTTCACATTTTTTAAAGGAATGTCTTAAAGATGTGAAATATGACGATAAAGTGTTCTCTCGGCTGTCGCTTCAGTTAGCGGACTGCATATTGTTAGCGATCAAAGAGTTTGGGTACCAGCGCTATAAGTTCATTATAAAGGTATTATTTATTCAAAAGACTGGTCAGGCAATAAATGTAAGTACCCGCCAACCCCCCCCCCCGCCGCCGTTGCTTCGAGCCGTAGGGTCTGTCCTCTCGGGTGACGTGGGCGTCTCTCAGCCTCGAGGTGCCGGCGGTGATGGCCCCACGTGGCAGCACCTGGGGGCCCCGCAGTGACACGGCCACTGGGCTGCATTTATGGGCTTTTGCTGTAAATCACTGGAAAAATACCTAGAAATGACAATTTCGTCCTAATAGCTTATTAAGTTGTACAGATAGCCTGTTTCTCAGTCACGCCTGATCTGACCACTTAATGCCACTTAGTGATTCACTGCCCGGTCAGTGCATTTGAGGCATGAGGGGGTGTGAGCCATCGGTGAAGGAATGAAGGCATGAATCCCGCGGCACGGCCTGACTCCCGGAGTCTTCACTCCCGTCAAGGGGGGCGCGCCGCGGCCTGGAGTTGGGGAGAACCCAGGGGCGCGGCAGTGGGACAGCCGGGCGCGGGCAGGGGCCGGGCGGTGAAGCCCGCCTGCCGGAGGGACTGAGGGGCTGACGGTGTTCCCACCGTTAGCAGAGTCCGGCGTTCCTGACAGACACGGATGCAGCCCCGCGGGCCGGCAGGGCCCTGAGCTGTCGGCTGGGCCCGGCCCCGCCCAGGCCCCGAGGCTGCCCCCGGGGCGCACGGCCCTGCAGGCCCTGGCGGCGCCCGGGGGGGCGGGGGGGCGGGGGTGAGGGGGCTGAGGGCCTCGGGGGCCAGGAGGCTCCTGTGGGGCCGCCAGTGTGCAGCGGGGGCCGCCAAGGTCGGCGGCGAGCAGAGGCCCAGACGCTCACGGGGTCCCCTGGGGACTGGGGCCGGGAGGACCTGGGCACCGGATGCGGAGGAGAGCCCGGCCGCGCCCCGGGACCGGGGCGCACAGACACGCTGGCCGGGAGGCCGTCCCCCACCGCGGACAAGCCTGGTCTTTCCGTTGGACTCGCCCGGGGGCTGGCAGCTGCCTGGAGGTTCCGCAGGCCCTGGGGCCTGGGCCCCACGTCTGACGGGTGGTGCTGGTGGCTGGCAGGGCCTGGGCCCACAGGGGGGCCGCCACCCCCGGGGAGCAAGGGCCCCCTGCACGTGGGGCCTCCTCCCAGCGCCTCAGGAAGGCGCGGGCAGAGGGCCTCCCGGGACCGGCCCGGAAGGTGCCCGCCGCCGCGTTCCTGTGCACGAGCGGGTCCCGTGGCAGCGGGCACCCAGGCGGGTGGCCAGGCGCGCGCTGTGGCCGCGTCCAGTGCCCCGCAGGACAGTGGCGTGGCCAGGCCTCGTGCGGGGATCAGGATGTTCGCGCTGCGGTGCCAAGGTGCCGGGCAGCGCGTTTCCTCCCAGAGGAGGTCCCAGTGGCTCAGCTGAAACTCCTTCAAGGGCGGGGGAGGCGCTCGCTGGGGGGCGGACAGCAGCAGAGCCGGGCGGCGCCTGTGGCCGGCTTGGGGTGGGGCGGCTCTCCCCGCAGATGGCCGCCGGCGGTGGCCAGAGAGAGGCCGGCCTGGGGCATCGCTGGGAAGCCCCTCAGGACACAGTGCTCACTAGCTGTAACTTTCCAATGTGCTGATGCATCTTTAAAAAAAAAAAAATCAAATGTGTAGGCTTTAAAAATCACATCTTAACACCTTTAATCTGAAGTTAATGTTTAAAAATGTCTCCAGGTCGCCAGCCAGTGGATCTGGGATGTCGCGTGGGACAGCTGGGTGGCAGCGAAACATGAGACAGAGACCTACGTGGCCTTGGCCTTGGTGTTTGCTCTTTATTGTGAATGACTCGTTTGAACAACGTTCACGTCCCCACTTCTCACAGACGTGGAATTTATAGATTTGTGAGTCTCAGCAGTTTTGATGAGTCATGTTTTTCTCCCCAATTAAAGTGTCTTAAATGTATTCTTTTAACAAATAAAAGCTGCATTTTTACCTTTGTACTTCAGTTATCATATTTATTAATACTCTATAACCTGGAAATAGCAAAGGCATGTCCCTAGATGGATACATGAACGCTTAGAGTGGAGTAGAGGACGGGAGAGCTGCCGTCGTCAGACTTAGGAAAATCAGAACCGGCTGCAGGAAACCACGGCGCAGCCTCGTCGTGGCCGCCCTGCGGTGTCACGCCAGGTCAACGTTAGGGTAGATTTTGGACAGTGTCCGCGGGCACACGTCTTTTGAGTGGTGCCGTCATACCTCGCAGGCATTCTTTAGAGAGTTTTAAAGAGAAATGCAAAAATATGTAAACCTTCCCTAACTAAGCCCCACTCCCCAGTCAAAACGCTCACAAACGTGTGGTCCTTCTGTTGGTGAGTCTGCCAGGCTCTCCTTAGATGCCAGGTCCGTAACCTCCTGTGATTGTTTTCTAAGGAAGAGGAGGCCATGTTTCACAGGCTCTGGACCAGGACCCGGGTTCCCTTGCCTTCGTGCTCACCCCCCAGACTCCCGCATCCGTCTGCATATGTGACAGGATCCGGTCCCGTTCCGTGGCGAGACTGGCCCCCCAGGTGCCGGGGCGGAGGCAGAGCCCAGCCTCCCTGAGCACGTGGCCACGTGGAGAGCCCGGTGTTCTTGCAGCAGCAAGGCCAGGGCTGGGCTCGGCAGGGGAGCGGGCCCCCCGACGGGGCTTCTGCAACCCACGCGGCTTTCGCAGTCACAGCTGTGCGTGGCGAAGCAGTGCTGCAACGGGGGTCCCACAGGAGTACCGGGGGCCCAGGCCCCTGTCACCCCGTGACACAGGCCCGCAGCAGGACAGGGGCCCATAGGCTGGGTCGGCCACGCCCTGCAGGCTCTGGACTGGGAGCAGCGGCTGCAGCACGTGGCCAAGGGGGTGGCGGCCTTTCCGTGGGTGTGGGCGTGCAGATGTGCGCGCAACCCAATTGCCCAGGGACGCCTTTGTCGGAACCGGCCGCCTCCCAGCCGCGCGCACTGCGCAGGCAGACCCGGAGACGCGGCGGGTCTGGCTCCGGGTCAGTCGCAACGAGGCAGGCGCGTGAGGTTTTGGTTTCCCAGTGCATGCAAGAGTCACACTTGCCCTGTGGTCTATCAAGTGTGCAACAGCATGCTGTCAAAACAAACAAACAATGTGCTTACCTTAATTAAAAAATACTTTATTGCTAAAAATTGCTGGCCATCATGGGAGCCTTCTTTTTGCCAGTGGAGGGTGTGGCTTCGATGCTGATGAAAACACTACCTACAAAGCACGATAGATCTACCCAGCGCAACAAGGGAGGTATGTGTGCACTCAGAACTCGGGACGCCACGTCAGACCTAATGCACAGCGAAAATACCCATTGGCGGAATAACCTAGAAACAGGACGAGGGGAAGGTAGAGGTGAGTTTTCTTCCACGTCCGTGTGACAGTGGCCTGGATGATCCAGGACTGAGAATTCCATCCAGCACAGCAGACATGTGATAGTTGTAGCTTCACGAATCTTCAAAACAGTTAGCAGTGGCTACCTTGCTGTAGAAAAGATTAGTAATTACAAACCATCCGGCAGCCAGGACTCAGAGTCCTTATTTGCATGAGGACAGACCAATCGGGGCTCCCGGGAGACTTGTTTTTATAAGCCCGCACCCCTCTTGTGCGGGGCACCGTCTTTCCACGGGAGACAGCGCTTTCCTGGCCAGGGCTGGACCCCTGGGTCGATGCCTGAGCTTCCCGAGGCCGCGCGTTTCACAGTGGGGCCGCTGCACCGTCGGCAGGTGGCGCTGCCGAGCCACCCTAGGCAGCAGGCCTCGTAACTGGGCCCTTTGCACTGTGCTCCGAATTGGGGTCCTGCGGTGCTGAATGGACACCAATGACCTTCAGTTGACAGGTTCTTGGGAGGGAAGTGGGGGTTGGTCTGCCTGAATCTTCAGTCGTTGGTGATGCCGCTTTGGCCCTGACACGAGTGGGAGGTCGCGAGAGGGCCAGCCGGCGGCCGAGGCGCTGTTCGCAATCACGCCACGGGCCGAAATAACCCCTTTTCTACAGAGTGTAAGCAAAAATAATGAAAGGGAAGCCATACCGACCTCTAAATGCAGGAACATTCTCTCCTGTCCCCAGTCACCTACATTCTAACATCGTAAAGTGTGTGCCGTGGGGTCAGCCTGAAGAAGCTCCTGACTCCGCCTCGTCACTGCTGTCCCCGGCTTAAGGTTCAGTGCCTGAGGGTTTTGGTTGTTTTTTTTTAAATGAAGTCCCAGAAGTGACTAAGTGCGGCCTAAAAGGTTAGACTGGTAATAAACCCAGTTCCCAGGAAACAGCTCCCGTTCTCTGGATGCATTTGATGGGCCCACGGTGCCCTCTAAAAGAATCCTGAAGATTCAGCATTTCTCCCCATTTTACAGATGAGGAAAGAGGTCAAGTGATTGTCAAGGCTGGTGTGAACGTGGAGCCAGAACCCAAACATCACCGTGGCCCCCAAAGTCCTGCGGCTGTTGCAGTGCCCCCGTCGGAGCCGCGTTAGGGAGCCGCCGGCAGCCCCGCGGCTGCTGTCTCTCCGTCCAGCCCCGCGGGCAGGCTGTCTTCCGTCCCGGCTGCTGCAAGAACTACATGCAGCTCAGCACATACTCTCCGATGCAGGCGGAATTTCAGCGCCTTTACGCTTTACGATTTGCGCACCCGCTGCGGTGGACGTGGCGAGTCCACATCGCAGGGCAGGTGGCTCGGGGGCTGCAGACCGGCGCGCCAGCGGAGAACAAAGGCGGGCAGGGGGCGGCCGTGAGGCCGGGGCCAGGAAGACCGCGGCGGGAGCCTCCTGGGCCCGCGCCAGGGGGAGGGCGGGGGAGGGGAGGGGAGCGCGGGGGAGGGGAGGGAGGGCGGGGGAGGGAGGGGAGGGGACCCCGGGGCTGACGTGCGGCTGGGCCGGGCCGGGGGCGCGGGCCGGGGGCGGGGCCGGGCGGGGGGCGCGGCGGGAGGTGGGGCGGCGCGTCGCGGGGAGCGCGGCTGGCGGCGGGGTGTGCGCGGCGCAGGAGCGCGGGCTGCGGGAGCGGCGGGCGGCGGCAGCCGAGGGCGGAGCGGCTGCTGGGCGGCCGGAGCGGCGGCGCGGGGAGCGGGGGCCCAGCGGGGCCGAGCGGCAGCGGAGCCGGCCCGGCGGGCGGCGCGCGGCGCTGGCGGCGGCCATGGCGGTGGCGGCGGCGGCGCTGGCGGCCCGCGGGGCGCGCGGCGGGAGGGGCCGGCCCCCGGGCGGCGGGCGGGCGGAGGGGGCGGGGCCGGGGCGGCGGGCGGCCCGCGCGGCGGTGGCGGCGGCGGCGGCGGCGGCCGGGACGAGGCGACGGCGGCGGCGGAGGCGGCGGCGCGGGGCGCTCGGGCTGATGGCGGCGGCGGCCGGCCCCGGGACGGCGCTGTCCCCGCGGCCGTGCGACAGCGACCCGGCCACCCCTGGAGCTCAGTCCCCGAAGGTGAGGAGGAGACGGCCAACGGCGGCGGGCGGGAGTCCGGGCGGGGCCGCGCTCGGGGCGAGCGGCCGGTGCGGGGGGCGGGAGTAGACGGAGGGGACCCTGGGCCCCGCCACCTGCCGCCCGCCGGCCGCCGGGTGCGACCCGCAGACCCGACGCGTCGCGGGCCCCCGCTTTCCGGCGCCGCGTGCGTCCGAGCGGCTCTGGAGCTCACTTCCGGAGGCCGCGGACGCAGCGGCTGTGGAACGCGCCGGCGGCCGGGCGAGCCCGCGGGTCCGTCGCGCCCGCTCGGAGGTCTTGCGTGCCGGGGTCAGCGCTCTCCCCGAGCCTCGTGCACAGGCGCGGAGAGACCGGGTCGGCCGAGGAGCTGCGTCCCTAAATTCGCACGCAGCGGCCAGGCGAGTTCGGGACGCTGCTCAGTGCTGTAGTCTGTGTGGTGTTCGGGAGGGAGACGGGGCAGTGTTCTCGGGGTCAGAGGTGCGTGGAGAAAACGAGGGTGAGCAGCCGTGACGGGCGGTGGGCGTGTCGGGACTCAAACCCAAGGAAGCGTTGCCGACGCGGGCCGGCGGCGGGACAGGCACCGGCGCGCGTCGGCTTCGCTCTCCCCGGAAGTCGGGTGCCGGCGGGGACCGTGGGGGCGGGTCTTGTTGCCGTGGAACCAGGAGGCCCCCGGGGGCGGGGGCGCCCCGAGCTGCGCGTGGGACCCGTTTCTGAAGGTCTCCAAGGCGCCCGGCCCCGCGAGCGGCTGCTGGCCGGCTGCTGGGCGCGCTGCCGGGGGCCGCGGGGCGTGACCCGGGCCGCGCGCGGTGCGCACGCGCAGGCAGAGGGCGCGTCGGCCGCCCAGACCCTGCCCCCGGAGGTGGGGGCCGCGGACCCGGGTCCGGCAGACACGTGGCGGCCTTAGGCCGCGGACGCTGGGTCGGTGCCGCGGTGGTGGGCAAGCGGTTTGAGTTGAGTGTGTTTCATCGGTACGTCGGGGGAGGTTGGGGAGCCGCTGACGTATCGGCCGATGCCCCCTGACGTCCAGCGCGGATGCCTCGGATCTGTAATAGCGGATTCAGAGCGCGGCGCATGGCACTGCGGTTTCAGCGTCTTGGAGACGTTGCATTTTTAACTTGTGTCACTTTGTCTCCATTGTTTAGTCACTGGACATGTAAACAAAATTGGCAAAAATCCTTGAAGTCTCAGAAACAAGTAAAATAGGGAAAAAAAGTACTTGATTGCTTAAAAGTTCTGCCTAAAGTATTGAAAACGAAATGTTTGAGTTGTGACATTGTTAAGTGTAAATTTTCGAAGAACAGTGAGGCCGCTCCCCGTCACCTACCTGGTGGGAGTGTTCGGGGCTCTTTCCCCGGATGCTTGCTTTATAGGAACTGAAAAGGAGCCGGGCCGTGCATTTACTG